AAGAAATTTACCGTGTATGTCCAATTCAATCCATCACAACTTTCTTCTTCTGCATATTGTTGGGTGATAGGTTGTTGGTTGGTTCGTTGCCAGCCAGCCAGCCGGCCAGCCAGCTAGCCAGCCAGCCAGCCAGCCAGCCAGTTAGCCAGCCAGCCAGCCAGCCATAAAGACCTCCTTGTTGCTCATTCTGATTATTCTGGCCATCCATTTGATCTTCAGGATCGAGGGAGCCCTGGCAGCAGCTGTTGATGTATAACTGTAGTTTGTTGGAAATCTTTTTTGTAACGCGCCAAGTCTCTCAACCATAACATAGAAGCACTGACTTGACTGATATTAGTGTTGAAAATCCAGATCTTGTTCACGCTATATGCTGAGTGCAGTGCAGTGCAGTGCAGTGTAGTGCAGTGGATATTCACACTGATTTCAGGTTAATGAAGGAAAACCTGTCTTGCTGTCTTACTGACTCTGGTTTTCATGTCCTCATCTGTGTCGCCAATGGTTGAAACTGTGTTGCCTTGGCTGGGTAGGTGAAAGAGACTACTACTACTTCCATGAGATTTCTCCCTGTTCATGATGATTAATGCTTCTTGTTGTTGTTGCTGCTGCTGTTGGTTGAGTATCTTCATCACATCTGTCTTCTCTACATTCACCTGAAGGAAGTCCCGTATTCGCTGCTCTACCCTGCCTCCTATGCCAACTTCTTGCTTTTTGCCTGTACTTCCTCGAGTTTGTGCCACTAGACATTAGACATAAATCAGCATCACTGGCGAAATCCAAATATTCTACGCTCTTTTCATCAGTCAAACAGCCTATGCCCCTCTCCTCCCTCTTCACAATTTGTTGCATGATCCAATCCAGTCCAGTCCACCACAATCACGAAGATCATCGGTGGTAGTAGAGGCCAGCCTTGTCTCGCCTGTCTTCACTTCAAATGCGTCACTGAGCATTCCAGTGTGAATCACATGGCATGTAGCATCATATAGCATAGTATATATCTGTTGGATGATAAAGGTTGATAAAGGTTTGTGGTACTCAAACTGTAGTGTTGAAGCAGCTGCCTGCCAAATCACTTCTCGGTCGACACTATCGAAGGCCTTTTCAAAGTCGATGAAGTTGAGGTAAAGATTCAGTTGATTGCCATTCTATACTCTGTTCTATGATGATGCGAAGTGTAGCATTGCAATTTGATCCTCACATGATTTGTTCTTCCTGAAGCCAGCCAACCAGCCAACCAGACAGCTAGTCTGATCCAGTAGTATTCTGAATCCAGCACACTGCTAAATCTCTCCAGAATGATGCAGCTTAATATTTTGCTTGGGGTGGACAGGCATGGAGCATGATTCCACTCCCTTCTTTGGGAGTTTGACAATGCAGCCCCTCTTCCAATCAATTCCCAGGTACCTCTCCTTCCTTCCTGCCTTGCAAAACTTCTGCAATAGTGATGTGAGCATGTCCTCCACTGTTGTTTCTGCATCTGTTTTCGGTGCTTGTGGAGGATATCCATCTGGTCCAGCTGCTTTCCCGGATTTCAGTAACTTTATGGCGTTCAGGACTTCACTTCTGCTTTTGTCGGAGGGCTTGTCTTCACTGGTAGTTCTGTGGCTGGTCTGTGGGGGATGTTTCTCGACGAGATGCAGAAGATGCTGGTGGTCGTTATGGTAGTCGACTCAAGAGATTTTTGATGTGGTCAGCCCATCATTTCCTTTGATTCTCCTCTTCGGTAGTAACTATGTTTCCTGCACCACCATCTATCATTGGTTTCATCCGCGTTGATCACTTCCTGGTTGTTTGATATAGTGTTGTCAGGTCTCTGTCTCTCCTGCCTGTGCCCCGTTCTGCTTCACTTGTCAGTGTTGTAGAAGTGTATTTTGTCTTTGCGCACACTCTTCTTCACTTCTTTGTCAAGTGAATTATTTTATAGGTTGTGCTCAGTTACTCACTTAGTTGTTCATCCCTACACGCCATCGCACAGCACAGCAATGCACTGGTTCATCCTCTGCTTCACCACCTCCCTCTCCATAATCCATCAACACCTGTGTTCGTAGAGATCCATTTGTCGTCTTGCTTCGTCTTCTTTTCATTCCTCCTCGACACTGTTATGCACATTTCTTTCAAATGGTTCAAGTGTTTTCTCACAAAGGTTTCCTTCAGGATGTTGCCTAATGTCTCCCATTTTGTTCTGATGACTGACTGACATGAAGACATCCTCTGTAGTTTCATACTTCAATTTATTTCTGTTCTGGGTGTTCAACTTCAACTGTGGTCTATCATCACCAACTTCCTTTAAGGCTTTCAACTCGGTTTCGAAGACAAGTTCCTCGCACTAGATAGTGAGTGGTCTGAACCTACATCTCATCCCCTTCTTCATCTGTCTGATATTGTGTCTAGTAGGCTGACTGCATCTCCACTGTCTTCACATTGAGATGAAATCGATCTGATTTCTAGTGTAGTGTGTCCATTTGGTGAGTGGTGAAATCCAAGTAGCTGCCTTGTGAATATGCTTGTGTCTGTACACACTGTCTGCAATCACCAAGTCATTAAATTCACAGAATTCTGCAAACAGTTCTCCATTCTCACTCATCATTTCACCGAGTGCTTCTCGACACATGATCACTTCTCTTCCTATGTTGTCCACTCCCAGTTTCGCATTCATGTCACCACACCCATTAGAATGGATTTTGATGTCTCCAACCCGGCTGAGTTCTCATCCTGTACTGATTGCAGTTGTCTCTTGAATTCCTCCTTCGTCTCTTCATCTGCATCATTTGTAGGTGCATAGCATAGTGTAGCATTGTATGATTATGACTTGTCTTCCTTTTGAGTTGAATCCACCTTGGTGTCATGATGCTGCTGACCTTGTAGGAGGAGATTGGTTCGCACTGCATGAGAGGGAGAGAGAGAGAGAGAGAGAGAGAGAGAGAACCGCCGATGTTCTTGGGAGGGGACATCATGATAGCCTCTCAAAAACTCAGTGTGCTGGAGAGTCAATAATCTACTCCAATATTGTCATCCAGACAACAGTTTGGAGAGTCCACTTCCAATCCATCTGCAGATTCCTCGCAGATTCCAAGCAGTTCTATGCTATACTTCCTCATCTCTTTTGCAATCTGAACAGCCTTACTAGCTTCGAACATTGTGCAGTCATTCCATGTTTCTATGCTTACTTTCGCTTTCATCGAGAGAGAGAGACAGAGAGAAGACACACTGGCCAATCGGCTTTGTGAAGGCTTTCACCAACTGGCGTCATTTCGTCTCTCTGATTCCAGCTAGGAATAAGTTTAAAATTATATTATTTATTTTTGTTGTGCTTTGAAGTTTCCGTAGCGATTGTATTGGTTTTCCGGAGTAGGGTTGCTAGCCGTGTGCTCAATTTTCCGTGTTTATGCGGGCTTTGACCATCTAGTAAACTATTGAACTCGGCGAGGTTCGGACACTTAACTGAGTTCATTTTCATTTTATCTTCACTTGTTTGACTGACCTAAACTAATCGTGTCTCATAATACAAAGTAGCTTGACCTTCAGTCCATTCATCGCAGCGCTTCTCTTAGCTAAGTTTTAAAACTCTTCCTATGATATCCTGAATACCGATGGGTTATACACTTACAATACAATGCTAGTATTTGCAATATCATTTTCTACAAAGTGTCTTACTGAACAAAATATGCTGTACGAGACAGCAGATTCCTATCGTTTTAAGTCTTCAAGTCTTTATAGCTTCTATTAAGTCGATGTATTAATTAATGCAACACTGTATTACCCAATAACTCATAGCATAGTTTCGGTGAGTGAAAAAACAGAGGTCTATTCACCTCCTTTGACCAGAATATTGACACAGAGCTTGATTAAAACATGAATGTCAGTTTTCTTGATTATACTTCCAGATATTTGTGAAAAATCTAGTATGATAGGATTTTATTTCGTTTCTTTAGTTCCCTCAAAAATACTTTATTTAGCACTTTTGGCGAATTCGTTCTTATCACTTTGCAAGTGATGAATATTTGCATAGCCATTTTAATCTTCCTCAATATTTGTCACTGCTGACAACCATCACTTTTCCAGCTGAATTTTCGGTACTTTAAAACTTTATCTGCTCGTGCCAATCACACGTAATTTGGTGCATTGAAAAGAAGTCTTAATTGAGAGCATAATTTATTCCCTTACTAATACAAGAATAAAATAATATATCAAGCAGAACCTTACTTGGAAGTTGCATGGTCTTAATTAATTGGACGTAATCGGGAGGAAGCCTTGGAACTAGGTTTCGCGCTTGTTGGCACTCGTCACCAAGGCGTATCGGCGACTTCGACGGAACTGATGTCCCACATGAGATTCAAACCCACGTCACCCAATGTTATATTCAGTGACGTTACCATTGAGCTAATCAGGATGCGATCGACCTTTTGTAGGACTAGGCTATCAGTTCTAGGTGCAAAACTTCGTGCTGATCGCCTCCAACCAACTGACATCTAACAATGCACACCATGATGCTGAGCTTCCTAGTTTGGTGGCCACGTTGCAAAACGATAGATGGGATCAGGTTAGCACCCAGGACTAGACACCATGAAATTCGTAGCTTTCCCATGACTAATCAATGAATTATAAGGTTTACTAATTGCAAGTGTGCATACACCATAACTGATATGTAGTTTCAATTCGAAATATATAGAGTTATGAACAAGAGTTTTGCTGCCATATACGGTTATGGTAAAACAAAAAGTAAAATCACTTTTATAAACACCTAGTGCAAATTAACCATCAGCTCACAATGAATACGACGAAATTCCTATTTATATCTTAATAAATAAGTAAACAAAATTATTGAGTACAGTGGAAATGTTTAAATAGCTTAGGCTGATATGCATTGTTGCCGAGTACTACTTTATAGAGCTACTCTAAATGTGAATATCCAGCTTCTATAAGTGATTTCAAATGGAAAACCTTTCTTCGGTTGATTAAGACAAAGAACGTATATAGAAGGCATGAGAAAGATAGCAGACTGTAAAAGGAACCCATAAATTTATCAACAAATAATGATTCCAACATTAAAGTAAATGATCGAACAACAACATAACATAACATAACAACATAACTAATGAACACCTGAATGCAGATTGAGTAAAATGACTAAAACAACTCATCTACAAGAGAAAAATACAGGAAGTAACCCAGTTTCAGTCAATAATAATAATTAATGTGTGCAGATACCATTAGTCTTTCTTAAAAGGGGAGATTATAGAAAAGGGTATGCGTAATGAATGCTAGAGGCAATAAAGTTTAAAGTTCAAGGAACCGAAATATTGAAAAAGCTTTTCACAATGCAATCTAGACAGTCTAAGATACTAAAAAGCAGTATGGTATTTTATCGGAAGAACCTTAGTATTCTGCTTCCTTACCATAAATCAGCTTGCCCGAAAGTCGCTTAACTTTGACTGTCAAAGTATGGTTACATGGAAATTAGTATATTTCTGAGGGCGCTATCTTTCATACTGAAAACAAAGGAATCTAAATAATAAAGACAGTAAAGAGTTATCAGAAATAACTACAAGGATTTTATGTAATATGCTATGTTGTGAGAGTACAGTTTAAGGATGTATAAAATGAGTCCCTACGTCAATTAGCTGAAAGTTTTGGCCACCGAACAAGAAAACAGTACTTCAGAAATGAAGTACTTAGAAGCTTAGAAATACACTAACACATAACATAGATAGTAGTGTGTATATTAGTGGAATGAACAGTCACGTTCACATTGGTAAGAACAGTCAAATAACCAAAATTTGAAGAATAAAAAACCTTTTTTGAAAATAAAGATAAATCCTTCACAAGATGAGTATAACTTAGACTCGGGTACGAAACTATTAGAATTAATAAATGATCATTACTGATCATAAATGAATTATTCAAAATAAAATGAGTCTGGACAAATTTTTCTATCCGAATTGGTCAAATCATATTCGTGTTATCATTACAAAAGAGAAGTTGGTACACGTATTTACATCAATCTATCGCTACGCCTAATATACTTCGAATCAGAATAGTAAGTGAACTGATAGTAAGGTAATCAGAATCACTTGTCATTCGTCTACTCAGAAAACAGCATACAGTGCGCAAAAACGAATCTCAAGCTGGATGTTCTTAAATATGTTCGGTTAACTTGCAATTCTAAATTCATGAACAGCTTATCTGTTTAGGAACTAAATAAGTAATTAACCTGCATCGTTCCCTCTCAAATTATTAATAGAGGGTAGGAAGTCGTCATTTTAAGCAAATATGCCTTCAATGAGACATAATCCATAAATATAATCTGTGGCATATCCCATATTTCAAAGTAGAAAGATTCAGTTTTTTATTAAAAGATGCCCGATAGAAAGTGTGATGTAAACAGTAAAACTATTTCTAATAATGGATTCAAGTCAGTTTGAGAATTCAACCAAACGTATATTTTTTATGACCTACAAAAACTAGATGTACTTCAACATGACTAATTGACCAAGAGGCCAGAAAACATAAATGGTAAACAATGTCCCAATTCTAGACTGAGCTTTGCCTATTAAATGATGAATCACATTTCTACGATTTACATAATAAATGCATCAGACATATCTTAAAGGCAAATAATCACCTGCTTTCTCCACAGTACCCTAAACTATTTATAAACAACATAGGTTTAGAATGACAACAATTGTGATCTATAAACCATCAAGATCAAAAGCTATGAGATCTGGTTTCATATCTGCTATTTTCGTTACAATACGAGTAAGGAAAAATACAAATTAACTATCTCTACTATCAAAAGCTCGATTACTGTAACAAATGTTTTGTTTAAAGTCAGTTGTAAATTTCACGAACTGACTTCAATTCATATGGTTATAATGGTAAGCACAAAACTTCATTCCCATTTTCAGTCCATGAAATGATTTCAGTGATAAATTCTCCAGAAGAAATGGTTTTACAATGAACTCTTCATTACCATCATTTTGTACAACTGATTCAAATTTTAACCTATCAATTAACTAACTAACTAACTAGTAGAATCAGAATCATAAAGATTTTTCATTCTAAAGACTAGTTGACGACTGGAATCATAAAGTGCTTGCTTAAATACATAGAAATCAAGATCAAGCAGATGTAAGTAAAAAATTTGGTTACTATGGTAGAATCCAATCGAATAGTAGTAAATAGTAGTGATATATATTATTCAACGTTAAGCAGGAATTTATTACAACTACCTTCTAGTTTAAATAGTTTAGTTCTACTCATCGAGTCAATGAACAACAGAAAAAAACTTTTGCATTAATTACATTTAGTATTCTCGATACTGGAGATTCAATTTATTGGAACATACTTGGTGCGCTGTTGAAATCGGCAAATCTAGAAAACAGTTACAATAGCAAAGACATATAGACCACTTTACTAATGAACAAATAAGCCAAATTAAGACAATCAGATCACCTGTTAACAGTTCAGAGAAAAATAAATAAACAAAATAGAAATAACAAAATTGAAACGATTAACTGACAACAGAGGTTAGAACTACTTGATTGGTCATTTCTACATGGCGTTTGTATGTTACAGTAGGGAAGAAACCATTATTGTTAAAAGAAATAATCGTCAGGAAGTTTACTTTTATTAAACGAAATTAAGAGGATCAGAATAAAAGAAAGTTAGTAAAAATTTGCGACCGGGATATGTTGAAAAGAGATTACATGTATACATAACAGTGACAAATTTTACAGCAACGATGTGTTCAACAAGCAATAACACATAAACTGTTGAAAATAACACTAATGACAAGTAAGAAAAAAATTACAAATTACAAGAAAATAAGCTCTTTGCACAATAACAAAACAGAACAGTAAGATGCTTCTGTGAATTCATATAAAAGTAAATACAACAGTCAGAAGTGAAAAGCATAAATAATAAAGTTAAATATAAAATATATTAGGAAAATTAAACTAATCAATAGGCTTTATTCAACTTTAAGAACAATAAAGCCAATCGCGAAATCTAGAGCACTGTTGTTCAATAGATAACTCCTTACAGAAATGATTACGTAGTAATCCTTGCTTCCAAAAAGCTTTCTGGAAGTCAGATAGCTTTAACTTCCAAAAAGAACTAATCATACTTTCAACACTAGGGCGTCGATTATCACTATCCCTGTCATTAAAATTTATGCTATCATTTTGTCCGGTAGTGCTATTATTAGATCGTTCAACATTTGTAACTCTTCTGTAAATAATTCAAGGAATAAGCAGTTCACAGAATCTAACAGCTCTTCCTTGTTCTTTTCTGCATTTTCCACGAATAAACGTATACTCTAAAAATGGCAATGATTAAACATACAGGTTGAGGTATAGTTCAAAATGTCATCAGCTTTATCAAACAACAAAGACGTCTAATGGTAGACAGCAGTAGTCATGGTGAACGTTTTAATAAAATTGCTTCATCATAAAGGTGTACATTCATCTCAATGAGTGGTTATGTTTCCACTGATACGAAAACTGCTACTTAGTATTCTGGTACTTGAAGTAAACGTTGTCCGGTTCCAGATACACTCAGAATACCAACACCCCCTGAAACACAGGCAAACCGATTTGAAGAGTCTCTTAAAGGATGAAAAGCGTATCCTGTGAATGGATATCGATTAATTCCACCCAATAATAGGACCAACAGAAAGCACTACTCGTAGGAACTATTTGTTATCCATGTAATTACATTGCATTTAAGAATACTAATAAACAACTTCAAGGAGCTGATATATCAAGACGCATTTATAATTTAAAGTTAAGATCTAATGGTACGGTATGCAGAAAAACGAGCTGAGCCGCCACTGTGTCTCTATTAAGCTTTGTCCTGATTCATCATGCAGTTTAACAATGAAGTCGTTGAACAGAAATACAATTTTTGAATGAGACCTTGAAATAGTAGTGGCTTTTAAGACTGATGCTACAGGCACTGGGTGATGATTGGAGGGGAACTGAAAAAAGGGTCGCGGAAGGATTCAAACTAGTGGCTTCGGAGTTACCGCCTTTGCATTCTACCAGCTGCAGATCAGTCCTATAGTCATAGCAAACAAAGACCCCATACTTCTTTGGAATACGGAATGACGGTTAAAACTTTCAAACTGTTAGTGCTTTCAGATATCTTATTCTTACGCCTTTCGGGTGACTTGATCGGACTTCGTACAAAATTCTCGAGTATTTATTAAGATCCCGTGTTTAGAGTTTACTGAGTTCTGTTATAGAGCTAAAGATGCATTTCCATTCTCCTTTTATCAACCGGGCTTATGAGTGTATTTCCTAACCTTATATACAGTAAAACCAATATACTTGATTACTTAGGAGCATGCAAACTGATACACAAACTGATGTAGCCACTTAATGCACCAGCTTGTTCTTCATGTACTGATAAACGATTTTTTGATAAGAGAATGTGATTATGAAATCGGCTCTAAAAATGCTCTCTTTGATATTCACATGCTAAGGATGTGTGCCACAATGTCATTTTTGGATTCCAGATACACCAGTAAAACCATTTTTGGATCGATCATTTATGTACCGCATACTATAAGAGAACGAGTCCGTCGATAAAAAAATGATTATTCACTGCAGTTATCCTTCCTCCTTTTCTAACAATGTTCAGTCAGGGATTGAACTATGTGCTATGAAGACACTATGGTTCGATAACTACAAATTGTTCATATCACTTTCGCTTAACATTCATAACTGATACCCATAAGGTAGAAATGAAATACCCTTTATCTATGAATATCTGAAATCAAAAAGCTGATTTCATGCATTAACGAAATGGGGAAAAACTGATGAATGATTCAATTTTCGAACATTGTAAAAGTGAGGATTACTCACCTCTGTTAAACACTGGAATTGACTGTAAGTTAATGATATCTGGTCACACATATCTCTTGAACTGTACTTGTTACTAATAAATCCTAAAGGATCGTGGATAGTACAATGAATCTCATCTTGTTTACAGATTGGAGAATATCCAGATGCATCACTTTTTGGGAACGTGATAACTTCATTAACAGCATTATCAGTACCATCATTTTGTTGTTGATATTGGACACATTCATCTGCTATTACATCTGTACCTATTTCAACTGCATCAAAATCAGATCTGGAACAAAGTTGATAACTACTACTGCTTGTATCACAGGAAGAATTAATACTATCCTTTTCACAATGTTCAACACAGTGATTATTACGAGATGATGATGATGTTGTCAGTAAACTCCACTTTAACTCATTGTTTTTCTGAGATGAAATCCAATACGGTGGCCGATGTAACAAGAACAATAACCGCAGTTTACTGTTTAAATCATGGCCACATATACAGTGCATTAACCAAGCAAAACTCTAAATTGGCACAAAAAAGAGACAGTAAAAATGATACACACTAGACAAATGAAAACAAAGCTAACACTCATAAAAAAGATAATCATCATTTTGATGCCTGTAATAATTGCACATTGAATGAAATTAATAAGACATTATGAATAACCTCAAACTGAAAGAAGGCAGTTGCAACAACATCCACCATTTTTCTGATATTTAAGCAAGAAGAAAAATGTTTTGTGGTGTATAAAATTGATTTCTATGTTTATAAACCTAAGTTGATATGCACACCCACAAATGTTAGTTACGTGAATAAAGAAATAAATTATGATAATGCGAAAAAACATTAGTACTTTAGATGCTCACCAGTGACTTGCTCTGAGACGAGAAGACATGACCCGTGAGGAAAACCAGGTGGAAGGTGAGGAAAGTTAATCAACGACGGCATTTAATGAAGGTTGCGCTATGTCGCGAACTGAAAGAAGTAAGAAAATCGGAACCCATAGATTCCAACCCAGTGACGCAACGGTCCCCTGCTTGCCACGTAACCTCAATGTCCTTGGTTCCATCTCTGGTGGGATCACGGGTGCGCACAGCTGAGAAATCCCATGTTAGGACGAAACAGCTGTCCAGTGCTCTAAAGTTTTCAACAGTTCTCCAACTGATGTCAGTCCTTGATGAACATCAATAAGAAATGCAGATGACTGAACACTGCATACACAAGTTATTAGGGGCCAAACAATATGACTGGTGACAATTAAGTCTGTCAAAAAGTATATGCCCTTCAGAAATCCAGTTGTGTGTATCGAAACATTTGCAAAATGACTGAATAAAAATAACCAATCTTACAGTATAGTGACAAATAACTGAAGAATAATAATTTCCAAATACGGACGATTTCTCTCATTTCTGAGGGCAGATGAACTAATAGATGCATAAAGAGAGAAAGCCTTACGACTAGTAAGGGTAAACTTTAGTTTTTCTGCAATATTTTTACCAACATGCATACACATGCATGTTCCACTATAGTTTTATCAGAGTAAAAGGCAGGTTATGCGAAGTTTCATCTTCAAAGATTTGAATGAATCCCATAATTCAAGTGATCCGCAAAATGACTTTAAGGTTATCAAACGAATTCTATTGAAAAGATAACAACTAAGACCAAAGTGGAATACTCGAATCATTTTCGAAATAAAAATTAAGTAACAAATGAATGTCACTATTTGGAGCACTATGGGAAAAAAACTTCAAGCAAGCAAAGATATACACTGACTTAACTTCAAACGCACAAAAAATTGAACAAGTTATGTAGGACATTATATAAATACTCATCAAAAAATCAATGTTTTTATCTGTATCTAAGATGAGCTGAAATACAGTTCCTAGTGTGTCATTCCAATGTGAATTATCGATGACATTAGTTGTACTAAGAAATCAGTCAGAAAACGATTACATGTTGTCTACAGATCGTCACTTGAAGAGCTAACTAGATCATTTTTCTCATACAGTGACAGCAACATTAATTATCATTATCAAATGACTTCTTTCCAGTGAAAGATAACAATTACAATCATATGTTTACAAACTACTGAAAACAGAAAATCAGTGATATGATTTTAATGAATAAAAAATTTCACGAAATGCAGTCAAGAAAACTTATCCATTTGCAAACTTCAGCTAACATTTAGAACTAATTTTTATCTTCTTAAATATTATTCACACTCACTTTGAAATTTATCAAATTATCCTCATCTTCATCCAGCAGACGAAAACATGGGAAGCACAAATGCGGTGCAACTGCACCCCATGGAACTAATCCACGAAATAAACTACCGAATTGATACGCATCAATTCGGTGAACATCATATGCTGGACGATTAGGATTATTAGTTTCATTGTGGGTTTTAGCAGGTGCAGTTTGATACATCCTTTCCAATCTTGAAAGGATATAATGATCCTGGAAATGACAAAAAATAATCAAAAAATGAACAAAGATTCTCGACAGTTTTGTAAACCAAATGGTATCCAAGATACCGACAAATAACTAGCCAGTAGTAAACGAAATCAGTCGTTGAATTCCTTATTTTAATTCATCCACAATAAACACTCGCCAATACGTCCACTCATTTTAAAATCGATACATTTCCCCTGGATTTCTAGGGAAAAAACTACCGTGGCCTAGCTTTACAACGATGATATCTTCTCTGAGTCCGCACACAGAATTTCCATACGCTTAATACACATCAGCAGGACTGATATGCAAAAACAATTCATATCCGTTTCACTAAAATAAAAAAGTGACTTATTTCTTCGAAAGAACTAATGGTATGGTTATTTTACCATGCCGAAATTAAAAATCGCTAAGAGATGAGAATCAGCCACTTATCTGTAAACATAGTCGTAATGAGCTTGCTTTATAAGTGAGATTCGCACACACAAAGAATCAAAGTAATGACAACCATAGTAAATATGTTCATAATTCCTTGTACGACATGCAGAAACAACCAGTATAAAACTGCATGCATACATTGTTCTCAATGAACCAATAAATTGAACATTTTATATGGCATTTCCTCAACGCCGTCTATTAACTTCTGAAGGATTCCAAATAAAACTTCGCATGGCTAACTAGTACAGCAGCTGATCATACGCCAGGATAAAGAAGGGAGGTTGGGGATACGGCTAGCAACCGTATCCTGTAAAACCAATCTAACCGCTAAAGAAACTTCAAAGCACAACAAAAATATAAAATTAAACTTATTCTTCGCTGGAATCGGAGAGGCGAAATGACACCAGTTGGTGAAAGCCTTCACAAAGCCGATTGGCCAATGTGTCTTCTCTCTCTCTCTCTCTCAGATGGAATGGAAGTGGACTCTCCAAACTGTTGTCTGGATGACAATATTGGAGTAGATTATTGACTCTGCAGCACACTGAGTTTTTGAGAGGCTATCATGATGTCCCCTCCCAAGAACATCGGCGGTTCTCTCTCTCTCTCTCTCTCTCTCCTTCTCATGCAGTGCGAACCAATCTCCTCCTACAAGATCAGCAGCATCATGACACCAAGGTGGATTCAACTCAAAAGGAAGACAAGTCACAATCATACAGTGCTACACTATGCTATGCACCTACAAATGATGCAGATGAAGAGACGAAGGAGGAATTCAAGAGACAACTGCAATCAGTACAGGATGAGAACCCAGCCGGGTTGGAGACATCAAAATCAATTCTAATGGGTGTGATGACATGAATGCGAAACTGGGAGTGGACAACACAGGAAGAGAAGTCATCATGTATCGAGAAGCACTCGCTACACTACGCATCACCATAGAACAGGGAATAGAATGGCAGTCGACTGGATCTCTACCTCAACTTCATCGACTTTGAAAAGGCCTTCGACATTGTCGACCGAAAAGTAATTTGGCAGGCAGCTGCTTCAACACTACAGTTTTAGTACCACAAACCTTTATCAACCTCATTCAACAACTATATGAAGATGCCACATGCCGACCAAGTAATTCACAATGTGAAGCTCAGTGATACCTTTGAAGTTTGGACAGAAGTAAGACAAGGCTGACGCCTGCTATCACCGATGATCTTCCTGATTGTGGTGGACTTGATCATGCAGCAAACAGTGAGGAGCGAGAAGAGGGGGGGATACGCTGGACTGCGGGGAAAGATCCTAGGAGATTTGGATTTCGCCAGTGATGCTGATTTATGTCTATTGTCGCACAAACTCGAAGATCTATAGTCGAAAACTAACAAGTTGACAGAAGAGGCGAGGCAGCGAAGACGGGACATGCTTCAAGTGAACGTCGAGAAGACAGAGGTGATGAATATAACCAACCAACAACAGCATCAACAACAAGCACCAATCACCATTAACAGGAGAAACGCATTGGAAGTAGTCTCTTTAACCTATCTAGGCAGTACCGTTTAGACTGCAGGCGGCGGTGACACGAATGGGGACGTGAATGCCAGGATCAGAAAAACTGCAAGACAGGTCTTCCTTCATTCATTTGAAACTAGTGTGGAGATCTACTGCACTGCACTCTGCGTAAAGCGTGAACAAGATCCAGATTTTCAACACCAATGTCAAGTCAGTCTTTACATGGTTCAGAGACTTGGCGCATCACGAAAGGCATTTCCAACAAACCACAGACATTCATCAACAGCTGCCGCCTACGCTCACGCGATACTAAAGATCAGTTAGCCAGAATAATAAGAATAAGCAACAAGAAACTCTGGCAATGAGCCAACCAAAAGGCTATCGCTCAACACATATGCAGAAGAAAGTGGAGATGGATTGGGCATGCACTGAGAAGACCATTCGGGGACATCACACGCCAGGCCAGATGCTCGAGTGGATTCCAAAGGAGGAGACGACGAGTTAGGCGTCCCAGCTGAGGATGACATGGAGGAGATCATGTGAGGGAGAAACGAAAGCTTTTGGGCAGTCGTAGCGCCAGATTCAAAAGAGTACAATAGAGACGTGCTACTGAATCCCTATGTTCCACTAGGAGCCAAAAGGAAAATTAATAATAATAATAATGATAATAATAATAACGAAGAAAAGCAATCTTATTATCTAGTTACGAAAATGGAACATTTAACGACTTGACGAGGTTAAGCAATTCTGTGATATTCTTATTTCTATTCCTTAGCTGTTTTACCTGAAGTCAGTTGTTATAACGCATTACTCTGTAAACCTCATTTTTGCTGTCATTTCTAAATTCTGTCCTAACACTGTCTGCTGTCTGTTACTTCAGCTGAATCAGAAAACCAGCATTTTGTGTATGCATACATTATGCAATGCTTTTTTCTAAATGAATGGATGATATGCAAAGCTGAAAATGTGTAGATAGTAAGGTCATCTATACAGAATAAGAATGACTACATGATAGAATACGGTTAGTCACTATTGGTTAGTTCTCATCGATCTTCAAAACAAGCTTAGTTACTTAGGAGTAAATAAACTAAACTACAGAAAGTGCAGTACAGTCTGCATAAACCGTTCATATGATAAAAACGACAAAGATATTTAAATGCAAGACGAAATTATCACGTGTTATCTTCCTTTCACAACTATACTACATCATGCATTAATATTAATTACTAAGTAGGGGGTATCTTGATTGAAAACGTTTACATTTCCACGCAAAAGCGTTGACATATGATGCATCTTGAGAAAAAATAGAAGAATTTTCACTGATAAAATTGTGATTTACTTTCTTTTATTTTATTTTCATTGAGACTTGATTGGATAGTACATTTTAAGAAATTGTATTACGGGCAGAAAAACGATTCTCTTTCAGAGAGATTTAATCCATTGAACTAGGATGATCGGAGTTCAATGACATTAAAATTCTTGTAATGACGCTTTGATTCCACCACACTTCACACAATTTGATAATGCTTGTAAGTTTATATGAAAACCAATCTTACCAAATCACACACGTGATACGTTTTCGAAGACATAACTTCAGGTATGATGACCGGTTTGGTTAAAGGTCAAGCACCTGAAATGATGAGCCACAACTACATAATGCTACTGATATGAAATGACGAAGATAGTAATGCACAACTTATATTGTACAGTTTTATGATTTAAAATAGATGGAACGTTTGTCAGGCATATCAAGTACCAACTTCGAAATGGCAGAATGGAATAAACACTGTGATGAAAAATGCCTCGAAATCAGCCACAATGTAGTAAATGCATCAGAAATGCATCCATTTACAAACTCCAGCAATCCTATTAAACTGCATACTGTATCCCGCTTTACTTGAATTCATTTACGTTCCGCTAGCCATAGACTACTGGTATAGTCATTTTCATTCTTCGTCAAATCAATTTCCTCTCCTTATGCTGATAAAAAGTGCAGCATATACACCATTCTCCAAAGTGCTACATTGTACCTTCTAACTTAATCGATAGTTACGAAAATCCATAAGTACCCAGTTTCTCATATTATACTGAGTGAGTAAAAACACTGCACTATTTGGAACATTACATTATTTGAAGGAACAATTACAATCAAAAAGCTTCACAATATTTTTTTACCTAGACCAAAAATATGTATACAGCTTGATAAATTCGTCAACAAATGATTCAACAGAGCTGCACGATGACGACTATCCTCTTAAAAACCTCCAACTCATTGAAAGAAAAGGCGCTGAAGTAGTAGGCACTAGTCTTATCAGGTTCGAAATAGGAATACATCTATTCGCTAACTTTAAAAGCAGAAACCCTAGTCAAAAGAAGACCAGTATATCCACTAATCCCATGAAAAGAGAAGAATTAACATGTAACTTTCCATATCCTACCAGACAGCCAGATAGAGAGAATTAACGCAGAACACCGCACACAGGTGTATCACTTCACAATAGCTTACAAAAAACCAACGGGTAGAATAAGAGGTATATCGAAGTCAACAACTAATGAGAGAGAATAAGCACCTAGAGATTAAAGGTTAGTGAGAACAATCAAGCATTGCAAGACGCCAAAGAGCGAATACATCTCAGCCAGTGACACAAGTTATCAGCACTAACCAAGAGGAAACAACCATATATTCCGACAATACCCTGGATACTAATCAGCAGACAAAATCTCCCACACGACGAAGACCAACAGTCAGAGAATTCATCGACTGGTGCTGCGTCTCACTCTGGCCAACCTGAACCCTCTTCCTACCTAATCCAGCTTTTCCAAGGACTGCATGTCAAAGTAGTCGGTGACTCTGCATATGCAACACATGTTCTAGCCACCTCAGTCACTCACGTTTCACAACCTCATCAATCGGATTACCTGTCCTGCGTAGTACCATTGACCCAACAACCTTGACACTGCTAACATGGTGATTCCACCAAGCGCAAGTAATCCTACTAAGACACCTATGATCAAATCCCTGTAACCTCTTCATGTCTTCTACTTTCAACGGCCATGTCACACAGCCGTCTAGCAGGACAGAACAGAATGCAGCGCAGCATACTCGTCCTTTGGTAGATGATAGTCAGATAGCTCGCCGTTATCAGAGGTTATATAGGTGGGGGAACGCTCAAAAAACCTTCTTTATCACAGTGGAGACTTCCGGAGCGACCAACCCGTTCGGACTGATGCAACTCCTCAAGTAAGTGAAGTGGTCGACACATTCCACCACTTCACTCCCTAACATTAAACGGATAGTGGTTACAGACCAGTCCTGAGGCACCAACCTACAATTCATAGATGCAAAACGCACGCCAGTCAAATATACTCAGATCTCTCCTCAACAAATCCAGAAGACCCTGTATTTTGTCAGCGTCTTCACCCAGCAGGACAATATCGTTTCCATACTACAAATTCATCAGAAGTTGTTCAAGGAGTGGATCGATTGCTGTCAAGCCAGATGAACCTAAGGTTATGTCCACTAGTACATCTATAAAGGAACGAAACAGGAACGTTGATAGGCAGCATCCCTGGGGGATACCACTAGTTGTCATCGATTCACATGAAAACTCTCCATAAACCCTTACACGACTGTATGCTTCATGTTCTCATTTTACAGTTGCACACAGACAGGCTACGCTGCTGCAACCCGTAAGACGCAGACATGCACGAGCACGTATCAGCGCGTGATCGGAGTTCGAACTGGTACTCCAGAAACAGCGGCAATTCTCCACCAATCCTCTTCAACAACGGCAATAGCAAAATGATCTCTCTGTGTCCTTCGTTGATTTGAAGTTGGTGGACACCATGTGAGACAGTGTCTCTCCATATGTTTACAGTTATGGCTGACCAGAAACATGTGATTGTCGTGACAAAATTGCAACTGACGACCACCGTTGTCATTTCGTTGGCATGGTATTCCGTAGATACCTCCAAGATGTCTTTCCGACTGACTCAGCTTCCCTACTTGAGCGTTAAAGTCACCTACCATTATGACTACATCTCAACGTTTTGCTTTCTGTAGGAAAACTGACAGCTTCTCATAGAATTCATGCTTTGTAGCATCCGAACTATGGTCGGTGACTGTTTAGGCAGAAATTACGAATAGGCGTCGGTTTGTCTCAAAATCCTTCCCAATCCTTACGGACCCATTCAATTGAACGGCACATAGACGGGTGTTTAGTGGCATCCAGTCAAGGGGTACACTTTCTGCTCCATAACACAATGCTTTGCTTACACAAGAGAGTTCACGAAAGCTAGTGTCATAAGATCTCCGGTTACTCTTAAGGTGAATTTTGATGACTCACTACTATGACCAGGTAAGGTCAATTCAATGACCACTCTCGGGTCTTTTGTGTGTCTCAGAGACACAGTATACATTCAGAGTTCTAGTGAGAGATGCCTCCTATCTGATTTGGCATAGGATTTGGATGCTGGAAGCTCCTACATGAAATCGATGATGGGTAGGGTCTTAGGAGACTAGGAATGAGGTTTTGATGGCTTTGATAGTTGACAATAGTTGCAGAGTGAGATGGGTAAGGCGTAAGAGGCCTAATATTAGTATCAGCAGGTGAAGGCAAAGGAGGAGACACGGTTGGGAGTACAGGTTATGTTTGATTCATCATTGTACACCAGAAGAAGTGTGTAGGCGATTGACACTTCCCGGTTACCCACAGCATGGAGGGCTAGTTGTTCTTGAGGTACCTGGAAAAGAAGGATTTCCATATGACTGGAGAGCCCAAGAGATATCTGCTCGAGGCCGGTCACAAACGGCTTTTTGGCAAGTTTGAGGTTTTGTTTTTCAATCTGACTATGAATCCGTGTTGCAGGCCACCTGCATGCCACGACGGACAGCAGTGAGCTATTTTGGAGCCGACCTTTTCTAACTCCCTCTCTTTCCATACGGAAGGCAGCATCAGCGTGGCACTGTTGGTCATCCAAGGGAAACACCTTACTCCCGTCACACCTCCGTCCGATCAATAGTACGACTTCGCCCTCAGACCCCCATCAGAGCATAACAATTTACACAAGCGTAACTACTTTTTGTCTAACAAAATTTTCTGGTATGGCAGGACCTCAAGGGAACAAGCGTCCCACCACCACAGTTCATTGGGTCACTGTGATATACTAACTCGACCACCAACTCAAGATAGCAGCTATCGGTTGGGTTTTGCTGATAAGAAACTAGCAATTTTTAAAAACTAATAATATAAACTAATAACAGCTAATGGTGTTAATGGACAGCTAATGGACAAGATACCTACATAGTTCTATCAGCTTAATAAAACAACAGATTTTTTCAGTAAAATTTTAATTCATCCAATAATGACAAAACTACATAGCGATTGGTAGGTAGATTTCATTTCCTAGACTTGTAATAAGTAAACTGGGTTTCGAGTTAAAGCAATATTTTTCAAAATCCTCACTAACTTTGATTACGATTATAACTAGCCCATGTAACTAGGTGGTCAGTTTCCTGGCCAGACAACCTAATGACTTAGACTCCGAAAACACCAAAAGGCCACCAGATGTTTAAATAATGTTCATCTCACTAACAAGCACCGTCGATGAGATCGACTAGTTTCTAGCTAATAATATCAGTAAAAAATATATATACTGTGTAGTTCGCAACCTGGATTCAGCCTAGTGATAAAAATGTAGAGGTATCGCGGTTCAAAAATGCCAATAGCCTTGAAATTACCTTTGTTATAATATTCAACTCGCGAGGAGGAAATGAGAGCTTCTGGGCTGTCGTGGAGCCAGGTTCAAAAGATTTCGGAGAACAGAGTTCACTGGAGACGTGCTACTGAAGCCCTATGTTCCATTAGGAACCCAAGGGACTAATAATAATATAATAATATAATATTCTAACAACTGACGTGAAATATTACAATCTGTTTGGAAAGTGGACAAAGAAAGCTCAGAGAACTTCTAGTATGAGATGTACTGCTATTCTTCATAATCATCATCGATAACATTTTCACAGAAACTCTAGAGGAATTTAAAAACTGAAATTCCCCAACTTACTCTATAACATTCAAATAGTGGAATCAGATCACTCTGAAATTCACGTTCCATGCTTCTCACAACTTCTTTGGAGGCATAATCACTGAGCGATTGAATAACTTTAGGTCTACACTGCAAACGCATTCTATCGATAAGTTCGTTTGTAATATTGAAATTTTCATCAGCTGAAGCTAATAACTTGTGTACACGTTCACGTAGCACAAAGGTATCAACGGAATATTTTTGTTTACTACCGCCAACAGAATTATCTGATGGAAGACGTTTATCATCACTGGAATGATCTGAATGACGCAATTGCTCAAAATAAGCACAAAGGTTAGTTAGAACAGGACTATCATCATCACTCTCAACAGCTTTCTTGATAATTACTGTATGCTGCCGAAGTACTTCAAGAGCAATTTGAAAAATAACCTGTTAAATAAAACAGATTGCATTAGAAAACAGCAGAAATAAGAAATATTAAGAAATCTTGATAAATGAAATAACTGAGTACTTTTCTAAATATACACTTTGGCACTTCATGTGTTAACTTATAGGGGTATTCTGAAATTTACTGAATTTTAATTAGGTACACTTAGTAACCGCTGGGGAACAATTTAGCCAATGTTTTGACTTTTAAAGCTAATAGTAGTACCCCGAGTGAGTGACAGAATTAGATCATTAGGTAATATGACAGAGTGATTCAAATTTGAATAACTTGAAGTGTTATTGGATAATTTCCAAAATGTTATGAGCTTCCGTTTCACACTAGTTAGGACTCGCTATCTTGAAATAATTTTATTAATATACTCGGAAACCATGTCACTTTAAATGGAGCTGTGGCTTGGTGGATTACGAAATGACTATCAACCATTAGGTCACAGGTTCGGGCCCCGCTCGACCTACCGAAATTTAGGCGGCTAGGTAGTATCACTAGCCGTCACACGATAAGTGTGGCTTATTACCTACTACACAGATGTGCACAATGGTGGCTGAGTGTTTCTCCTCTCCAAAGATATAAAAAGTAGTTTAAATGCAATTAAAAGTCTCTACACGTAAATTTTATATCAGCTGCTTCCAAAGATATTCATTGTGTACTGCATTGATAGCCGAGACTGTACATTCTGTTAAATGTGACGTTAGTTACATATAAAACGTGAATAAATGAGGTGAATCAAAGAGTAAAATCATTTCATGTGTTTATTAGTGTTATTTACTTCATATAGTTATTGTCATTAAATAGAGAATACTGAATCACAACGAGATTTAAGTGTTATTATATCACGCTCATAGTCAAAATCCCAGTTATTGTAACACTTTATCTCTAACCAGTTCATGTCAAAAATTAACAGCTATATAACACATAGGCAGACAGACAGATAACATTTTGAAACCCGTTTCTTCTTTCTTCAGAAGGTCTTTATAAAACATAAGAACAAGCAAAAGACATGTCAACTGTATGCGGTTCGGTTATACTTGCATTGAACTGAACGAAATATCAGCAGTTACTAATATAAGTCAGATTTGTATCCAGTTGTAGACGTTCCACCTAAAGTTACAATTATGTTATGAATGTAATTAAAAGAAGACAAAAAGTAATTTCTGTCGTCTGGTAACACATTTACTGGACGCAAAATACTTTCTGCACATAATCGTAACACACAACACATCATAATTTAAGTGTATGCTGCACAATATCTACTGTCGAGAAAAAATGCGCTCCTCTTACACTGGGCAGTTCGACTTCAATTCAGAAAAGAAAGTTAAATAAGCACAAACTCCAATGACTGTGAAATGTGAAAATTGTGAACAAAATTATAAGCCAAGTACATTTTTTACATAAATGACAATCAAGAATATTCATTTGACTCAATATAGATTACTTGTTTAACTTCTATTGGAACAAATTCACTTATGATTCATGATAGATTTGCTTAGCGTTACCCAATTTACCGTACTCGTAATCAGATTATTAAAATCTATAACACAACTATTTTCAATTTTCAACTAAAAAGTAACGGTAATGAAAAGCTGTTGATACCAGTTTTCACAGTACTTATAATGCTGAATATAATGAAATATATCTAAGTCCCCAACTGCTCTCAGATCTGAAACCCAAGCCACGCAAAGTAATTCTTTGATATAAAGTTCTTAAACTATAAATTTCTATGTTTCCACTCAACAAGTAGTAGTTCTAACAAACTTGTAACGTATACATTAAGGAGGAATTAAAATGACAGCTAAAGGACTGATTCCTTAACTGGAACGAAAATGTTGGCTTTGTTGTACATACTGCGTAAACGAAATTAGCCACATCATCTCCAGTCATTGAGGAAAGGACTGAAAGGCATCAGACTAATGAACACCCAAAACACTCACTCATTAACATCACAATGAATGTAACAAGATTAATTCAAATATGTTTGAAATCCCCAGTACTATCTAAAACTTTCTACTATTAAATGTATGCTGTGTTACTCTAGTATACGAAAACAACCCACCTGATTGGTCTATTTCGTGAATTCAGTTGAAACATCTTACCTTGATATCCCTTAACTTATCGACTTGTGAGTTCCGAACTTTAGCTTAATAAGGCATGTTTATTACCTGATTCTTACTTGAAATATCCTTACACTCCATCGTCTTGAATACACTAATGATCAGTCCAAAAGCGATACGTGAAGCACTGTAAACCCTGTGAAGCATACATTTGTGCAGTCAACAACTGTAGTCACGAAATAAAAAGGACAAACTCTACTCAATAATGTGATGTTTGATGATGACAAAAACTTGTACTTGTATAGTCATTGTGAGGATATCTTCTAGGAGTAAATAAAAAGTTGGATCAAACAGCTTCATAGGTGGTAGGACCAGAGTAGTAATCCAAAAAACAAATAATAATGACCAATTCCTGAAACCGTATCAATAAACAACTTGACAGCACCAAGTATAAATATGAGTCGATAATTTTGTCTTAACATTTCACCTACCGACATCACGGTAAATATATAAACAGTTTCTAAAAATATAAGCTAAGAATCCATCAGTCAACTCAGTGATCCTTTGCTGAATAAGCTCCATACGTTAAATTATATGCTGCTCACTCACAGGTTTAGCTATATATGACAAGTAATTTAAAGGATTTGAAGAGCAAACACCATAATATACCGTAAATTCCTGCAAGAGGACCAAGTGCTTCAAATTACCAGATACTAAAAGTACTATTCAAAGGAAGATCGCACTTAAGCGACAAGAAATCCAGGTTAGCACGTGAAACTACTGACCTAATAATGTATCTACTTAAATGTATCCATCTCCTTAGATAGACAAGGATCTTCACCTATTCAATGAGTACATTGAATAAGCATTGCATAATGTATGCATACACAAAATGCTGGTTTTCTGATTCAGCTGAAGTAACAGACAGCAGACAGTGTTAGGACAGAATTTAGAAATGACAGCAAAAATGAGGTTTACAGAGTAATGCGTTATAACAACTGACTTCAGGTAAAACAGCTAAGGAATAGAAATAAGAATATCACAGAATTGCTTAACCTCGTCAAGTCGTTAAATGTTCCATTTTCGTAACTAGATAATAAGATTGCTTTTCTTCGTTATTATTATTATCATTATTATTATTATTAATTTTCCTTTTGGCTCCTAGTGGAACATAGGGATTCAGTAGCACGTCTCTATTGTACTCTTTTGAATCTGGCGCTACGACTGCCCAAAAGCTTTCGTTTCTCCCTCACATGATCTCCTCCATGTCATCCTCAGCTGGGACGCCTAACTCGTCGTCTCCTCCTTTGGAATCCACTCGAGCATCTGGCCTGGCGTGTGATGTCCCCGAATGGTCTTCTCAGTGCATGCCCAATCCATCTCCACTTTCTTCTGCATATGTGTTGAGCGATAGCCTTTTGGTTGGCTCATTGCCAGAGTTTCTTGTTGCTTATTCTTATTATTCTGGCTAACTGATCTTTAGTATCGCGTGAGCGTAGGCGGCAGCTGTTGATGAATGTCTGTGGTTTGTTGGAAATGCCTTTCGTGATGCGCCAAGTCTCTGAACCATGTAAAGACTGACTTGACATTGGTGTTGAAAATCTGGATCTTGTTCACGCTTTACGCAGAGTGCAGTGCAGTAGATCTCCACACTAGTTTCAAATGAATGAAGGAAGACCTGTCTTGCAGTTTTTCTGATCCTGGCATTCACGTCCCCATTCGTGTCACCGCCGCCTGCAGTCTAAACGGTACTGCCTAGATAGGTTAAAGAGACTACTTCCAATGCGTTTCTCCTGTTAATGGTGATTGGTGCTTGTTGTTGATGCTGTTGTTGGTTGGTTATATTCATCACCTCTGTCTTCTCGACGTTCACTTGAAGCATGTCCCGTCTTCGCTGCCTCGCCTCTTCTGTCAACTTGTTAGTTTTCGACTATAGATCTTCGAGTTTGTGCGACAATAGACATAAATCAGCATCACTGGCGAAATCCAAATCTCCTAGGATCTTTCCCCGCAGTCCAGCGTATCCCCCCCTCTTCTCGCTCCTCACTGTTTGCTGCATGATCAAGTCCACCACAATCAGGAAGATCATCGGTGATAGCAGGCGTCAGCCTTGTCTTACTTCTGTCCAAACTTCAAAGGTATCACTGAGCTTCACATTGTGAATTACTTGGTCGGCATGTGGCATCTTCATATAGTTGTTGAATGAGGTTGATAAAGGTTTGTGGTACTAAAACTGTAGTGTTGAAGCAGCTGCCTGCCAAATTACTTTTCGGTCGACAATGTCGAAGGCCTTTTCAAAGTCGATGAAGTTGAGGTAGAGATCCAGTCGACTGCCATTCTATTCCCTGTTCTATGGTGATGCGTAGTGTAGCGTTGCGATTTGTTCCTTACATGATTTGTACTTCCTGAAGCCAGTCTATTCAGGGATTGAGGTGGACAGGCATGGAGCATGATTCCTCGCCAGTTCTTGCAAACACTTAGGTCTTCCGTCTTTGGAAGTTTGACAATACAGCCCTTCTTCCAATCAGCAGGTACCTTTCCTTCCTTCCAGACCTTCTGCAATAGTGGTGTGAGCATGTCCGCTGTTGTCTGCATCTGTTTTCAGTGTTTCTAGTGGAATTCCACCTGCTCCTGCTGCTTTCCCGCATTTCAGCAGCTTTATGGCGTTCAGAACTTCACTTCTGCTTTTGTCGGAGGGCTTATCTTCACTGGCAGTTCTGTGGCTGGTCTATGGGGGTGTTTTAAACGAGTTGCAGGTGGTGGTGGTGGTGGTGGTCGATTCAAGAGCTTTCCGAAGTGGTCAGCCCATCGTTTCCTTTGTTTCTCTTCTTTGGTAATTAAATTTCCTTCATCGTCTTCTATTGGTTTCATCTGTGTTGATCTCTTCCCTACCAGATAGTTACCTGCTTATTTGATACAATGTTGTCAGGTCTCTGTCTCTCCTACCTTCAGCCTGTTCTGCTTTACATGCCGGTGTGTCATGGAAGTGTCTTTTTTCATTGCTCGCAGTCTTCTTCACTGCTTTGTCCAGTGTAGTGTTTTATAGGTTGTATTCCATTCTTCTTTTCATTGTGCACCCTTGCACTGGTTCGTCTTCTGCTTCACCATCCTCCTCTCCCTGCTCTACCAGCTTCCACGTGTCTGTCAAGATGCATTCCTTATCTCCTTTCTTCTTCCTTCTTAATACGGTTATGCAGGTTTCTTTCCACATAGCTTCCAAACAGTTCCAGTGTTCATCCACACAGGTTTCTTCAGGGATGTTGCCTAGTGTCTCCCATTTTTTCCTGATCACCGATTGATGTGAAGATGTCCTCTGTAGTTTCGTCCTTCAGTTCGGTTTCTGTTCTGGGTGTTGAACTTCAACTGTGATCTATCACCAACTTCTTTGAAGGCTTTCAACTTGATTTTCAAGTTAGCTTCCTTGCACTAGATAGTGAGTGGTGTGAACTTACATCTGCTCCCCCTCTTGATCTTGTGTCAAGTAGGCTGGCTGCGTCTCCACGGTCTTCACATTGAGATGAAATCGATCTGATTTCTAGTGTGTCCATCCGATGAAATCAAATCCATGTCACTGCCTTGTGAATATCCTTGTGATTGAAAACAGTGCCTCCAGTCACTAAATCGTTGAATGCACAAAGTTCTGCAAACAATTCTCCATTCTCACTCATCATTTCACAAAGCGGTGAGCGTCATAATGAGCAAAGTTGTGAGTACAAAGTGATGCTACAGGAAATGTTTCTGTTGGCCTTTAAAACTGTTGCAAGGAATAAATTTAGTGTAAGCTTCAGTCATTTTTACTAAACGTGGCAAGCTGTTCTCCAATTGAATCTGAGGATCAACAGACAAAGCTTGATGCGATCCAGCTGACAAAAGCTACTTGCGCAGCTGAACCGACAACTACAGTAATCAAAAATATGCCTTCTCACTGCGTTCATCACTGTTATATTGATGTGTAACATGGCCATTAGAGGCCACTGGTCAAGGTCAAGGTCACTTCTAGATTCCTAGGGTGGTTTTTGGATCAGTTAAGCAACGCTAACACATGGTATAGGAATTCAACAATGCAATACCTAAAATGAATCATTTTTTCATATTCTCTCTTAAGGTTCCAGGGTACGTGCAATACACATAAATCACTTAAACAGAGCTAAGGTTATATATTCATCAAATAACTCTTGTTCAGTTTCCCAAAGTAATATATTTCCTCTGAATGAAGTAAGCTCTTAGTAATTTCAGTCAACTACAGCCGATATATTAAAAGCAAGCATCAATTAGGCATCTTTGGAGTATAATATTATGAAAAAGGTTTCAACGAAATTACAGTCGTTATCATTATTATTATTATTATTAAAACAACCTACCCGAGCACCACCATAGAAGAAAAAATCCAGAACATATACAGCACATTTAAAAGGCATGGTACTGTTGGGAAAAAAATTAATTGTGAGAAATAAATTAGTGAGAGACTAACTGCAATTAGCGTAGACATTAAAACTAACTGCTTAAACAAGACAGGGTTAGAAAACGGTAGGTAATAGTGAAGTGAATGGTAAAAATAAACTTTAATAAATATCACGAGTCTGCAGAAACCTCTACTAAACTAAAGCATTGTGCCATTAAGCAGAAGAGCACCGTTAAGGTTATTCAGGTTCCAATTGGAATTCAGATAAACATAAACCACAAGTGTAGTCGAAAACAACGACATCTCATTTCTGGACGTATGTCTGACAACCTGTACAACTTTACTATGCAGTCGAAAACTTCTTCCGACAGTCACCAGTGTGGTAGAGGTTCTTTAAACATACACGTTGTCCTTCAGCTTCAAACATAATCTCCTCGCATAAGCATTCATTAATAAGATGCGAAATACCAACACACCAATGACATTTAGGAAATGCGAAATACAATATTGTAAGTTAAGTACTCAGAATAATCAGATACACAACTCTTTCACAGATATGATAATTTTTCGAAGCCAACATCATCTTGCACCTAGCTGTTTGCAGATTAAATAAATATTAACGAAATGTAAGGGGAGCTGTGGCTCACTGGTCTAACAATTCGACTTTCGACTGATAAGTCGCGGCTTCGAAGCGCGCTCTTCCTACCAAGTCTGGGTAGTCAGTTAGTATCATTAGCTCTGACATAATACGTGTGGCTCACCACATTCCTTCGATTTAGATAACCATATCATGAAGGTGGTTGTCATTAAAAATTGATATACATTAATTGAGGTGAAATATGAAGAGCATTCAAAAACCACCTCACCTTCGAACTCGTAAGGGATGTATGCAGTGTCTCTGAGACACACAAAAGACCCGAGAGTGGTCATTGAATTGACCTTACCTGGTCATAGTAGTGAGTCATCAAAATTCACCTTAAGAGTAACCGGAGATCCTATGACACTAGCTTTCGTGAACTCTCTTGTGTAAGCAAAGCATTGTGTTATGGAGCAGAAAGTGTACCCCTTGACTGGATGCCACTAAACACCCGTCTATGTGCCGTTCAATTGAATGGGTCCGTAAGGATTGGGAAGGATTTTGAGACAAACCGACGCCTATTCGTAATTTCTGCCTAAACAGTCACCGACCATAGTTCGGATGCTACAAAGCATGAATTCTATGAGAAGCTGTCAGTTTTCCTACAGAAAGCAAAACGTTGAGATGTAGTCATAATGGTAGGTGACTTTAACGCTCAAGTAGGGAAGCTGAGTCAGTCGGAAAGACATCTTGGAGGTATCTACGGAATACCATGCCAACGAAATGACAACGGTGGTCGTCAGTTGCAATTTTGTCACGACAATCACATGTTTCTGGTCAGCCATAACTGTAAACATATGGAGAGACACTGTCTCACATGGTGTCCACCAACTTCAAATCAACGAAGGACACAGAGAGATCATTTTGCTATTGCCGTTGTTGAAGAGGATTGGTGGAGAATTGCCGCTGTTTCTGGAGTACCAGTTCGAACTCCGATCACGCGCTGATACGTGCTCGTGCATGTCTGCGTCTTACGGGTTGCAGCAGCGTAGCCTGTCTGTGTGCAACTGTAAAATGAGAACATGAAGCATACAGTCGTGTAAGGGTTTATGGAGAGTTTTCATGTGAATCGATGACAACTAGTGGTATCCCCCAGGGATGCTGCCTATCAACGTTCCTGTTTCGTTCCTTTATAGATGTACTAGTGGACATAACCTTAGGTTCATCTGGCTTGACAGCAATCGATCCACTCCTTGAACAACTTCTGATGAATTTGTAGTATGGAAACGATATTGTCCTGCTGGGTGAAGACGCTGACAAAATACAGGGTCTTCTGGATTTGTTGAGGAGAGATCTGAGTATATTTGACTGGCGTGCGTTTTGCATCTATGAATTGTAGGTTGGTGCCTCAGGACTGGTCTGTAACCACTATCCGTTTAATGTTAGGGAGTGAAGTGGTGGAATGTGTCGACCACTTCACTTACTTGAGGAGTTGCATCAGTCCGAACGGGTTGGTCGCTCCGGAAGTCTCCACTGTGATAAAGAAGGTTTTTTGAGCGTTCCCCCACCTATATAACCTCTGATAACGGCGAGCTATCTGACTATCATCTACCAAAGGACGAGTATGCTGCGCTGCATTCTGTTCTGTCCTGCTAGACGGCTGTGTGACATGGCCGTTGAAAGTAGAAGACATGAAGAGGTTACAGGGATTTGATCATAGGTGTCTTAGTAGGATTACTTGCGCTTGGTGGAATCACCATGTTAGCAGTGTCAAGGTTGTTGGGTCAATGGTACTACGCAGGACAGGTAATCCGATTGATGAGGTTGTGAAACGTGAGTGACTGAGGTGGCTAGAACATGTGTTGCATATGCAGAGTCACCGACTACTTTGACATGCAGTCCTTGGAAAAGCTGGATTAGGTAGGAAGAGGGTTCAGGTTGGCCAGAGTGAGACGCAGCACCAGTCGATGAATTCTCTGACTGTTGGTCTTATCCATTCGGAAAGGTGTAGACTCCGTAGTTGGAGTTCTCTAGATGATAGGAATCAATGGTTGGCAACGGTTGGTAACATGACGGGGATATGATTACAATAGTGCAGATCCATTCACTCTCCAAATGCTTGAATGCTTTGAATAGCTTACATTCTTGAATTTCTTCCCTTTCCATGGACCATTTTCTACCTTAATATAAACCTTTTATATTTACTTGTTCTTAGTATGATGCCGTGAAGTATGGCAACCAGAACCGGTACACGTCTGAGCGAGGTTATACGTTAATTGTGTCTCTCTTCGTACCGTCACTCGGAAGTCAGCTCCCATTAGACCTTTAGAAATGCTATCTGGGACCATATTACTAATGATCATCGAAGTAGCATTTAAACAAATAGCTATTAAGAACTAATAAGTTTGAAGAACATTTTATTACAAGTATATGAAAACTTAAGAGTTAATAAAACAAGTAACGAAGAGAACATTGGTTTCAAATTAAGCTGATGACACCTATTAGTAAACAGCTTTTACTTGCACAAAACAGATAGTGACAGTTATCTGTTTAGTTTAAATATTATAACTTCAGAGATACAATAAACACGATTTAATTCGATACCTACTTGAGAAATAATGTTAAGAACCAGCTCAAAGGTAGCATACTTATCAACTCTGAGCCAAGAGACCGACGCATTGAGGGACCAGAAAATGGTCCCGAAGAAGTAGATCCAACTACCTCGAGATTGTTATCAGAAAGTATATTTTTTGGTTTTCCGAATTCACTTTCCAAATTTTCCTGGCTTGGTGTTTGTAGAATATGTTTTAACTCCGGAACATATTCAATTACTAAGTCATGAAAAACTTGTTGGTCAACACGCACGCCAGCTACCCGATTATCATAATAGTCAGGCAATAAACGCTCACAGATAGCTGTCAATAACCAAAATGATTGTTCTTCTGTACTGTATAGTAGCAAAACGCTGGCGACTATATTCATTGACTGACAGTAACCTGAAAAACAGAGTCCAAAATAAAAATGCCCCAGTATCTCCTCAATGAAAAATTAACTATAATTAATTCCCTTTACTTTATACGCAATGCATAAATCCGAAAACGTTTAGTGGTCATATTTAGTAGCTAAAATGATATTCTTATGTATGTGTACGCAAAATATTGTATGATATAACAAGCTATATTCCGAAATAAATAAATTCAAAAACGTAGGTGATTGAGGTTGATCTCAGTAGCTTAACCACCAGAGTACTAGCCACAAAGCATCAAGGCTCATGGTTTGATTCATAAAAAAGAGTAAAGAAACATCTTACTGATGAGTCTCAGAATAGGATGAAATAACCGTCTAGAACCCATATCAAACTTGCACAACAACAATTTTACTTAGACTGCCAGAAAATGCGAAAATTTCAACACGTGTTTCATGATCAGCGTTTCAGGTGAAAACAATTATTTACCCTATGCATCATCAGTTTAGAGCAGTGATTAATGCCTTTATTTTGTTCCTTCTCTATCCTCCTGATTTTCTAGTGGTTGGGTTGAGATTCAGATATACAGGGTTCTGAGATTCGTTAACGTATATGCTTCAGAGCGTAGCATTTTGTTCGTATCCATCACTTAACCGTGATTTACAGCAATACTGAGTTTATTAGTTTTAAAACAATTCGATCAATCAGCTGACACTTTTTATCAATGATCTGTATCAATGTGAATAAACATTCCGAAAAGTAACAAGTAAATTCAGGAAACAAAGACTACTAGACTGTTTTTTATACTACATAATGACTATGAACCCTGGAGTTTTTATTTCGCATTTCATTTCTGTAAGAAAGAAATCACTATCAACATCCAACCAGGCATTACTGTGTAGCGACCCAAGTTGCGATACCTCATATCAGCGCAACAAGTAACGAAGCAACAAGATGAAAGACAAAGAAATGAAAAAGAATCCGTCAAAAGCAGTAGGAAGACGTGAAACAGAGGAATAAGGAGTAAAAAATTACTGAATCTAGTATGACGATTAGGATGGGGATAGTTTGCGGATACGCCTGCGTCAATGAGGTCGGTTCGGACCTATGTCACTTAGAATTTCCAATCACTGGTTTCTGCTGACACTCAGCAGGCTATAATTACCTATATGGCTCATATAAACGGTCAAACACTTTATGCACTGATGCCGTGTTTCCACCTGGCCACTACGAAGCTTTTTCCAGCCTAAACCTACTTCAGTCAACATTGGATAACAAGGCAGACCGTGACTAAGGATGCGCAACACATATCGTAGCCATCTGAGGCGATACAGATTCAAAATCTCTCCACTTTCTTCGCTTCTCCCCAAAATTTATTGCCTGATTTCTACAGTACTGACGCGACGACACCATGACACACAGCTTATGCTACAAAGGTAACAATGATCAAGCATAAGAAGCCTTTTCATGTCCTCTACGTTTAGTGGACATCTTTCACATTCATATAGTAGAACATCACGAACTGCAACGTAGTACACTCGACTGTTTACAAACAATCGGATTTCGCGGCGGTCACAGTTGGCAAACCCCAGACCGGCCTTTTGCATACATGCAGAGATTTAGTCGGTCACCGACCAACTCACTAGGGCAGATCTGACTTCCTAGGTAAAGTGTATTCAGTGCAATCAACCACTTCACTCTCTATTGTCTGTAAGGACACTGCTGAAAACTAGTCCTGGAGCAACAGTTTGGGTGGCCAGAAATGTATCGCAAACATTCTCAAATTACTTCCCAAGTTCCCCAGCAGACTCTGCATCTTGTCAACGTTTTCGCTCAACTGGACTACGTCATCTACGTATTGTAGAGCTAATAGGACCCCCCCCCCCCCCGATGAAAACACCAATCCTTGTGAAGTCAAATGACGAGAGGGAGAAATCCAAAAGTACGTCTATGAAAAAAAATGAATAGGAATGGAGAAGATGGGTATCCGTGATGGATACCACTCGCAGTACACAGCTCACCTGACAACTCACCATAGGCTCTAACACACTTATGAGTGTTGAAGTAAAGAGCTTCCAATAAAGTGATTTGCTTACTCCGTAATTCTTTCAGTGACAAAAGCCTCCATAAGACCTTTCGATCGATGGAATTGAATGACGCCTTCAGGTACAGAATAGCAGCCAATTTCAAGTGGCTGTAAGTGAGCATACGTTCCAGAGCCTGTCAGTTTAAATATTTGATCAATATATCCACAGATAGGTATTAGGCCTGACTAGTTTTCATGGGTCTGCTGTTCCCGAATTCAACTCAGGGTAAGAACGAAATAACCATCACTGACTCTATGTGTATATTTTACCAGAAAGTTTTAAATGACTTCTTTGATGACAAATCAAACCACAAAAAATATAGAAGAAACCCAATATTTCAAACATTCCTTTCTTTTATTCCCAACATCAATAACTAGAACAGTTATAACGCAGTTTCTAATCCGAAAGCGAACTGAGGAAATCCACTCAGAGTGGAATATTTTCAGCAACAAGAAACAAAGTGACAATTACTCTGACTGCAAGAAATGTCATGTCACACTTTCTTTGCCTACTAATTGTTCACATCACATTTCAAGTGCTAACATGGAAATCTGCAGTCCAATATACCAAGCAAGTTAAGGTTTCGATAAAATACCCAATTAACTCAGAGTTATTTACTAGACGATTAGTTCCACGTACTGTGTAGAAGACTTTGAAACTAACTAGCTGCAGAAACACAAGTAAATGACACAAGATACGAATAAGAACATAAAATTTTCAGAAAACTAAACACTACGAAATACTTATTTATTTATTTGTCCCTTGAGTTCCTAGTGAAACATAGGGCTTCAGTAGCACGTCGCCCTTTCACTCTCTTCTCTGCATTCCTTTCAACCTGGCTTCGCTACTCCCAGCCCAGAAGCTTTCATTTCTTCGTCACACCATCTCCTTCATGTCATTCCCACCTCGGACCCCAAATCGTCGTTTCCCCTATGGATTCCAATCGACGGCCTGGTGCGTGACGTTTCCGAATGGTTCTCTCAGCAAACGCCCAATCCATCTCCACTTTCTTCTCCACATTCGTTGGTTGTTTCGTTGCCAGCCAGAATTCCTCGTTGCTTATTCTGATTATTCTGGCCACCCGATCTTCAGTAAACAGAGAAAGCAGGCGGCAGTTGTTGACGAATGTCTGTGGTTTGTTGGAAATGCCTTTCGTGATGCGCCAAGTCTCTGAACCATGTAAAGACTGACTTGACATTGGTGTTGAAAATCTGGATCTTGTTCACGCTTTACGCAGAGTGCAGTGCAGTAGATCTCCACACTAGTTTCAAATGAATGAAGGAAGACCTGTCTTGCAGTTTTTCTGATCCTGGCATTCACGTCCCCATTCGTGTCACCGCCGCCTGCAGTCTAAACGGTACTGCCTAGATAGGTTAAAGAGACTACTTCCAATGCGTTTCTCCTGTTAATGGTGATTGGTGCTTGTTGTTGATGCTGTTGTTGGTTGGTTATATTCATCACCTCTGTCTTCTCGACGTTCACTTGAAGCATGTCCCGTCTTCGCTGCCTCGCCTCTTCTGTCAACTTGTTAGTTTTCGACTATAGATCTTCGAGTTTGTGCGACAATAGACATAAATCAGCATCACTGGCGAAATCCAAATCTCCTAGGATCTTTCCCCGCAGTCCAGCGTATCCCCCCCTCTTCTCGCTCCTCACTGTTTGCTGCATGATCAAGTCCACCACAATCAGGAAGATCATCGGTGATAGCAGGCGTCAGCCTTGTCTTACTTCTGTCCAAACTTCAAAGGTATCACTGAGCTTCACATTGTGAATTACTTGGTCGGCATGTGGCATCTTCATATAGTTGTTGAATGAGGTTGATAAAGGTTTGTGGTACTAAAACTGTAGTGTTGAAGCAGCTGCCTGCCAAATTACTTTTCGGTCGACAATGTCGAAGGCCTTTTCAAAGTCGATGAAGTTGAGGTAGAGATCCAGTCGACTGCCATTCTATTCCCTGTTCTATGGTGATGCGTAGTGTAGCGTTGCGATTTGTTCCTTACATGATTTGTACTTCCTGAAGCCAGTCTATTCAGGGATTGAGGTGGACAGGCATGGAGCATGATTCCTCGCCAGTTCTTGCAAACACTTAGGTCTTCCGTCTTTGGAAGTTTGACAATACAGCCCTTCTTCCAATCAGCAGGTACCTTTCCTTCCTTCCAGACCTTCTGCAATAGTGGTGTGAGCATGTCCACTGTTGTCTGCATCTGTTTTCAGTGTTTCTAGTGGAATTCCACCTGCTCCTGCTGCTTTCCCGCATTTCAGCAGCTTTATGGCGTTCAGAACTTCACTTCTGCTTTTGTCGGAGGGCTTATCTTCACTGGCAGTTCTGTGGCTGGTCTATGGGGGTGTTTTAAACGAGTTGCAGGTGGTGGTGGTGGTGGTGGTCGATTCAAGAGCTTTCCGAAGTGGTCAGCCCATCGTTTCCTTTGTTTCTCTTCTTTGGTAATTAAATTTCCTTCATCGTCTTCTATTGGTTTCATCTGTGTTGATCTCTTCCCTACCAGATAGTTACCTGCTTATTTGATACAATGTTGTCAGGTCTCTGTCTCTCCTACCTTCAGCCTGTTCTGCTTTACATGCCGGTGTGTCATGGAAGTGTCTTTTTTCATTGCTCGCAGTCTTCTTCACTGCTTTGTCCAGTGTAGTGTTTTATAGGTTGTATTCCATTCTTCTTTTCATTGTGCACCCTTGCACTGGTTCGTCTTCTGCTTCACCATCCTCCTCTCCCTGCTCTACCAGCTTCCACGTGTCTGTCAAGATGCATTCCTTATCTCCTTTCTTCTTCCTTCTTAATACGGTTATGCAGGTTTCTTTCCACATAGCTTCCAAACAGTTCCAGTGTTCATCCACACAGGTTTCTTCAGGGATGTTGCCTAGTGTCTCCCATTTTTTCCTGATCACCGATTGATGTGAAGATGTCCTCTGTAGTTTCGTCCTTCAGTTCGGTTTCTGTTCTGGGTGTTGAACTTCAACTGTGATCTATCACCAACTTCTTTGAAGGCTTTCAACTTGATTTTCAAGTTAGCTTCCTTGCACTAGATAGTGAGTGGTGTGAACTTACATCTGCTCCCCCTCTTGATCTTGTGTCAAGTAGGCTGGCTGCGTCTCCACGGTCTTCACATTGAGATGAAATCGATCTGATTTCTAGTGTGTCCATCCGATGAAATCAAATCCATGTCACTGCCTTGTGAATATCCTTGTGATTGAAAACAGTGCCTCCAGTCACCAAATCGTTGAATGCACAGAGTTCTGCAAACAATTCTCCTTTCTCACTCATCATTTCACCGAGTGCTTCTCGATACATGATCACTTCTCTTCCTGTGTTGTCCACTCCCAGTTTCGCATTCATGTCACCACACCCATTAGAATGGATTTTGATGTCTCCAACCCGGCTGGGTTCTCATCCTGTACTGATTGCAGTTGTCTCTTGAATTCCTCCTTCGTCTCTTCATCTGCATCATTTGTAGGTGCATAGCATAGTGTAGCATTGTATGATTGTGACTTGTCTTCCTTTTGAGTTGAATCCACCTTGGTGTCATGATGCTGCTGACCTTGTAGGAGGAGATTGGTTCGCACTGCATAAGAGAGAGAAAGAGAGAGCCGTCGATGTTCTTGGGAGGGGACATCATGATAGCTTCTCAAAAACTCAGTGTGCTGGAGAGTCAATAATCTACTCCAATATTGTCACCCAGACGACAGTTTGGAGAGTCCACTTCCAATCCATCTGCAGATTCCTAGCAGATTCCAAGCAATTCTATGCTATACTTCCTCATCTCTTTTGCAATCTGAACAGCCTTACTAGCTTCGAACATTGTGCAGTTATTCCATGTTTTTACGCTTACTTACGCTTTCATCGAGAGAGAGAGAGACAGAGAGAAGACACATTGGCCAATCGGCTTTGTGAAGGCTTTCACCAACTGGTGTCATTTCGCCTCTCCGATTCCAGCGAAGAATAAGTTTAATTTTATATTTTCTTTGTGCTTTGAAGTTTCTTTAGCGGTTAGATTGGTTTTACAGGATACGGTTGCTAGCCGTATCCCCAACCTTCCTTCTTTATCCGGGCTTAGGACCGGCTAGTAACTAGTGAACTAGTTACCCAGGCGAGGTTATTACGAAATATTATTTTTCTTTAAAGCCCTGATAAGTACATCACATATTCCCAGCATAATAAACTTCTTGTACTTTTATAAGAATCACCTATACATGCGAGAATTCTCCCATTTTAGGAATAATAACCTGTCTTAAGACAACTTATTTAAAAAATGTTTGATCCATCGAAACGTTGATAAGCTATTTAGATGCATTAAATTAGTAGTGAACTGAGAACTAAGCATTTCCTCCAGCATATGAATCGGAATAGAAGGTCGTCGGCTAAGGATTCTATTTTAAATCAATATGCCAAAGATTCCAACGTCACTCCACTTACGAAGGCATATTTAACAAAGTAATGTCATAAGCGTTATAGTTTACTAGGTGAATTCACACTCAGTTGATGAGTTGCATTTGATTTGAATAGCTTAATAATCAATAAAAATTCATCGGTTCTCCCATACACACTTTTACCTCAGCCAGTCAGTGGTTTGTAGAAGTAGTATGTACTGTGCACTTTTCAGTTGCACAGTACGCGAAGTCTTGAGGAAGTTTCTCCTATCCAACTACACGTCACCGAGCATGTCGAATACATATATAGTCAATAACTTAAGTCCGAGTGTACTTTCACAACCACTTTATACTTCATTAAATCAGATGATTATTACTTTGTGCACTACTGATAGCTAACGAAACATAAGTACAACAATCGATCAAGTCAATTCACTCAAACAACTTACCTACACTAGGATTACGATAAGCGTAGGCAGTGAGAACTCGCCGAAGGGATTCAATGCCTTCTGATGTGTGATAGGCAGGATGTTCCGGGAATGAACGATACAAATCTCGTTCAATTTCTTCACTTACAAAATTATTGCAGCCTTGAACGCCATTAATTAATTTATCATAATAACCCGGATTGGCAAACATCTATATGAGATAAATGATGAAAATAAGCCAACGAAAATCAGAATATTGTTATGATGCGGAGTTGTGAGAAAGAATGATAATAATTAACGATTGATAGTCGAGGGTTGAGACGGTTCAACCTGAGTGATTCGCAAATGGAAATCAAAAAACTTGTAACCAACTGAGTTTATAATATCTCAGAGTGAAAACGAACCCTCTTTATAGTTTGCTGGAACCTTGAAATACAGGTCATCCTTTCAAAATGCTCTCATCTGACTCGGGTTCATATGCTTTGTCAGAGAAGTCCTGCTCACTGCCTTTAAGTGACTGGGGCCGTTCCTACAAAGGTGAGAGGGAAAAAGCGAACTTTTGGTCATAAAACCCGAATGGTGTTCACAAAGAATACCATGAGAATGCAACACCTCACGTTGCTTTGCTGCTTTGTGAAACAGGTCTCAAGTAAAAACTCTGAGATTGGCTCCATAAGACAGCCACCTGCTTCGGTATTGACCTCTGGGCAGTATTAAAGTCAATATAAAGTTTATTAATCAATGCTGACAAACACTACTAAGCGCTTTTTAAATCTTCCTTCATAAATCGAAGTTTACAGTGTAATCTAATGTCGATCATCCCATTTTTACATGCATCGTCGTCATCTTCACTTATGAGCTATGCTGTCTATTAGTTATCATTTCTAGGTTTGTCTTTAAATGCATCTCTGTCCTATAAATAATTTAGCCTAGCGGCATTTTAACCAATGGACACTGAGTTACTTAGATACAAGCACATCCTGCTTAGGAATTTTAAGCAAGACGAAAATCGTGTCATTAATCCCATTGCTAGTACTAACCAAGCAAACTGGTTTAACAGATAGTTATGTCAGTACAGAAACAATGATTTATAGGTCCCATCACTATCAGATTCAATGAAAACAACGGATTTTTAGGGTATTTATCATGCAAAAGCTTTAGAGTAGTCTCAGAAAACATGATAAACTGTATACTTGGTATGGATGATAGGTGATAAACAATACGATCTACAAGATACTAATAGCATAGAGTAAAATGGGTCGACTATTCTTTTTGCCTAACAAATACAAATCACAAGATAAATGTATGCTGACTTTTATTACCATAAATAATTTCCCTAACAAATATGTAAAACATGAAGAGTACTTCAATATTTTCAGTACCTGGTGGTTACTTTACACAAAAACATGAAGAATGATAAGTGAGTACGCAAAATGACGGGAACAGAGCTCCTGAGCCAATGGCGTTACAGTGTTATGATCGCATTTGAACAACACTGAATGTCTTCTTTGCTATCTTATCAGAACTCTTCCAAAAGATATTCTTCAAACCCACTGTTGGCAAGTTTTGTAACTGTTTAGTGCTTCTAGTGGCAAATTCAGAATTCCCAAATTTACAGTCTTTCTTGAAGTAACTTATTGAACACTTTAGATCTTAACTCGTTAAAAACATCATCCAAAGATGCGATAGAAACAAATTCAATTTGCTCTGCCTTTAACCAGTAGATTCCAGTCCGTGGAGTTGTGGTACATTGATTTCTAGGGTTGGCTTCAAACCACTGGGTTGCGGGTTCAAACACCACCCCACCAATCGCGGCTTCAGCAGCCATACGGTAGATGTAGCTCATTGCCTAGTGCACGAATGTGTACAAGATTGTTGGGTGGATTTCGACTTTTTCCAAGATTCCATATTGATGTGGTCATTGAATTTAGCTACCAAACTAACCTTGTTCTTTTATACCGTTTGCAGTATTTGTTGTTTGAGGTATAATCATATCATCGATCTTCGATGAATGAGATAACTCAGCCGCAAAGAAGAAACTAACATTAATTCATCTTATGACTAAACCATATGACCACGTAATGTAAAAATTCAGTGAGTTAGGATTGGGACCCAATGGTAAAGAACAAAAAATCACAAATTTCATCGTCCGCCGATTTGTTTCGTGAGGTGAAACACACTGAAAAGATAGAGTTGAGGATGAAAGACTAATAACCTCTGAAAGATATCTTTACAAGAATATTAATCTAGAAAAGTGCAAAAGCTGGAAGTGATAAAACCTACACATTATTACTCAGTGGAAACAAACATTCAATCAGAATTCATGCTTGAAACAAGTTCTAGGCCACGTTACCTCATTTTCAGCTCCACTTAAAATCATCCACAAACTTCCTCGTCTTTCTTCAGGTAATCCACATAAAACAAGTTCCCTGAGGCGTTCATTTCGACGCATTGAAACACCAGAACCATACTCTTCAAAATACGCTTTCCAATTGTTCATTCTCTTCTCTTCAGCATTAGGATCCACTGAGCCTAAACGACTACCACGGGAATAACGGCTTGCAAAACATCCAGAAGCATCTTCAGGGCAGATAAACAAAAATAACAGTAATTACTAGAATATATTGACCGTTTTTAGACCTTACGGCAAGTCACTATATTGTCAATATTGTAATGCGCAATTAACAGATGTCCTGAGAAGTAAATATTACTCAGAGTAATAAACTCTAGATAGATTCAAAATACCAACAGTAAAAAGCATGTATAATTTCCTCTTAGTTACATACTACATATGTACTATATATCAGAAATATAGTAATAAAGCTCCAAAATTATGAAGAGTACAATCATTTCAAGTTAATAACTGAATAATACTAGATGCTAATCGCTGATAAACTTGATATTACATTAGGCCCATTAAAATAACAGCAGTAGAACTCTACTACTGAACCAAAATGTAGGAACTCGAAGTGAAGAAATATCTCTTTTTAATGACAACCAACAAACGCGGAACCTAAATCAACATACTACTGTTGATAATGTCACACTAAGACCAAAATAGTGCCATTTCATATGATCTAACTGTGTTAATGTGCATTTTAATGACTAAACTGAACAACATAACACCCATTTCTACTTATTCCCCTAAAATTTGAGTGAAGGTGTTTGCTTTTATTGGTTAGTGTGGTGTCACGGATATAAACCACGAATGAGTATATTTACAGCATAAGTATGAAAAATAATGTTCTCATTATTAGCATCATCATAGACCAAGAGTTTTGCAACCTTTCATTTCCGACAAAATATGATTTATACGGAAGATAACTATTACGCAAATATTTCACTGATCTATCCAAACAAAATTAAATAACCTTTATTCCTTAGCAGAATGACATCAACCCTCAAACGCATGCTTGAAGTGTGACCACACTTTGACAATATTAGAAATTTCACTGAAGCGTACAGTGAAAGTAAAGATAAGAGTAAATCAAGTAGATTGACTGAATTATTCAAATATACATATGACTTGATGCATAAATAAAAACACATAACATTTAGTACATACTATAATTGGTGAAAATAAATCTAAACCAGAGATATGTGCAATACGCGTATGATATTTCATAATTCAATTGATCTGTTATTTAATTGTAAACGTTTCTTTTCTCAGAATGTAAGTCACTGTTAAAATATTATATTAATGATCAATTCAATGTTCACAAACAATGAAATGTTTTAATACAACAGTACGTAAATAGTTGCACTTAATCGTGAAATGTAAGGTGATGTCTTCTACCCAGTAATCCAACACATGTTTCTAAATTAAGGTATGCCGGTTTTATATAACACTCGACTGTACAATTTGAAGTATATGGTGTGAGTTTGAAAGTATAACCCAACGGCTGGTAATAGATTCATTAGACCAGCATCCTACGGCAAGTTATGATCATTTTACAATACATTGAAAGTTTATTGAGATTCACATGAGCTTGAAACATCTTTACTGTGATTGCACGGTAAGAAACAAACATTATGTTATTGGAAACTATTCTACACAAGCAGAAGTTATCTGCATGTAACTTGGTCTAGAAAAGATAAACAATAACTGAGCATAAACAGCATACACATTTAAATAATGTGTACATAACAGAGAGCCCATTGGTCAGGTCAGGGCATTTGGCTTTCAGTTAGTACATCATAGGTTCGAACCTCGACCACCATAATGGGGTCGGGATGGCCAACTAGTTTTATTTCGCCGCACACAACGTGTGGTTTGTTACCTACCGCACGAATGTACATGTGATTGTTGAGTTGCATTTTGTTTCATGTTTCTTTGGTAATCCAAAATACTGAAACACAATTCCAGAGAAATTACTTCAACTTATACCACTAGTATTAGCGAAAAATAGATGTATATTACTGGACAATAGTATTACTACTTGTCACAATGTACACAAAGCATGCAGAGTAAAAATTAATCGTATACGGACACATACATTTGCAGATTTGACAGCTTATATCAGGCTACAACCATTTCTCAAGATTGAATGAAACGATGAAAACTACTTCAGTTGGCATAAGATAGTAGAGGCCTACTTAATTTAATCCTTTTATTCATTAATAAGTCAACGATAGAAGAAAAATATTTAGGCACATTTGGCTTTATTTGACAGAACTGCAAGGTGTTTGATTTCAACCAAACGTAACAGTATGGCTTGTATGTACGAGGAATATAGCCTTCTTCACGTACGTATTTGACTTACAGCGAGGAATGTGGGATAGGAATACTTAGAAAAAGTATCAGACATTTCAACTCACATCCTCTTAGCCCTGCACTACAAATCCTCTGTACCCAAATAATAATTGTTACTCTAGGATCAGTCTGCGTCAGAATCTCACCTGATAATAGAAAGTGAAGTGGTTGAGTGTGTTGATCACTTCATTTACCTAGAAAGCCAGATCAGCCCTGATAGGTTGGTCACCGAAAAATCTCAGCAAGAGTATGAAATGCTCAACAGGCTTTGCCAACTTACGTTACATATGGCACAGTAAGATATCTGATTCTCCCCCCCCCCCCTATATATATCAGCAATCCGCTATGTTTTACTATACGGTTGTGGAATATGATCATAAAGGTCCAGAAATGAGAAGGCTAAGGGTATTCAACACCAATTGTCTTCACAGCATTCTCTCGATGTAATTAAACCACAGTGTTAGCAACGCGGCGGTAAGCCTTGAGTCTTGGGCAAAAACAGTAAGTCAATTAGTGAGGTTATGAACTTTCATCCACCAAGTCAGTAAGGAATGTATTATGTATACTTAGCCACGACCTACTACGTGCAATGTTAGTGGAAGTGGAGTCAGGCTAGAAAAAAGTTAAAGGTTATCACAATAAGATGTGGTGCTAATTGATGAAGTTTTTGATGATCGATCTCAGCCAGGTAGAAAGGTGTAGGCTTTCAGTTCAAAATCCATTGGACGGGCGGAAAAAAGTTAGCAACTCCAAGTGACATGGTCCAAAACTGATCACAGTGACGCAAATGTAACAACATTATCTTCATTTTAACCGTGGTATCATATTTAGGTGTTTTTGTCACCCTCTTCCTCTTCTTTTTGTCCTGTACATTTTGAATATGCTGATTTTATTCTTTTGTCTTTACTTTTGTTGCTTTACTTTTTTATGTGCTGTGTGGAGTGTGGTTGATAGAAACGCTATGCAGTAATATAAGGTCCTATATTGACAGCGATTGATATCAAAGTGAGCACTTACTTCGAATATTTTTCAATTTTCGACTAGCAGTGAGAACTAGTGCATGATACTGATAGTTTCCAGATGATCAAGTTATGTGCGCAAAGTCTACAGCTCATTTTATACCATGATATGAATGTATCCGAATGTGAGCTGGTAAGAAAAGTGATTCTAGCACCACAACCATTTTAAACCTTATTTTCTAGAATTTAGTTATAAAATGACAACCAAACAAACAGAAGAATATTCACCAACCAAAACTCACTTGGTAAGCTGGACTGAATCATACTCATAGTATTAGGAGAGCATGAAATTCCTAATCCTCTATTAAATGAGTCAGTAAAAGCAGTAACAACAACTGAAGAATCCGATTTTGTGCTAAAATGAATCATAAAAAGTGACAGATGTACACAACTTAATTTTCTTACATGCATCCATTAACAGTTTTTTGATAATATTACACAACTTATATTTTTGATAAATATTTGAAAAGCAAAAACAACAGGTGACAGTTAATATTCCATAAAAGTACTACACTTGCAGAAATATGGATATCTAAGCCATATTTGTATATCGCATGGACTTTGAACATTCTTACGATATTGTTTTACAATGAAACAGTATACAGCCTACTGATTAGCATTTAATCAGATGGTGACCACAAACTACTTTTACAAGGCTAGCACTAGCTTACATGTGAACTCACCCTTAACAGTAGATACTAGCAATACGCGAAATGTTTGTGCGCCAGAGTAATTGTGTGTTGAAAAGTGCGTGGTAAATGAGAGTTCTCAAGGCGCAAGGAAAGTATGAGTGGCACATACCTGCTTCGATCACTTTTATCTGGCACCAGATGCTGGGATGCAAGCAGCTATAATCTACCCCTGTAAAACTTGTTCCCACCAAACTGAGGATGTTCAAACGACGTCTTATTTTTGACCAGAGCTATCTGATCAGGAATTCCTATATCCAGTTAGCGGCACCACGGAGGTAATCCTGAGGTCCAGCGGCGTCTATTCGTGAGGTTTTTATTAAATGCCACCCTTATCGAGAAAAATCTTAAACATGTCATCCAAGCAGCTGCCATCCGATCCACCATTTATGGGCACCAAGATTGGTTTGGAGAAGCAGAAAGGTGGTCACTGTACAAAGTATTCCCATAAGATCAAAGACAAATTAGTTAGATTACCGTGACTCCCCAGGTAGACTCGAAGATACAGAAAGACTAAATTCGAAAATTATTGGATGGTAATTTACATTGACACTGGTGGTGATCATGCTACACTTTTTGTACCCTCTGTTTTTGAAAATCACTATGACAGTAATGCAGACTCGTGAGTGTTTCATAATAGGCGCTAGGTTGCAGCCAACTGTACCGCCATGGCTAGTATGAAAAGTATCAGAAATAACAATTTAAGACTTCCAAAAGTGATTCAAAAGACTCGTAGCTCAGGATGGGGATGATGATAATGATGATGTAACATCCACAACGAAATGCCAAAGCTCAGACAACACCGAATCATTATTACGAATTCTACAAGTGTTTCCTTGAGTTCGCAAGAATGGGTTCCTTTAATCTTCTTGGAGATAAGCCCCTAGACTGAAGGGGTTAAAAGAAACTTCTGATTATCCGTAACCCTGGTATCAATAACTGAGTTGCATATGTTGAAAATATCACGTTACTAGATGTATTCCGATCTTTGATTTTAATCACTAATCAAGCGGTTTACCGATCACACAAACATGCATTAGTACACGTCGACCCCATTTGAAACAATACAGAGAGAAAAAACAAAAGTCAATTGTATTCTCAACTACAACCAAACCTTTATACAATCTGTATCCTTGTTATCGTTTCGTAAATTACCTTGATTGGTTGATAGTATATAAATATGTTGAAAGTTATGTGTATTAGAGTGAAGCCTGATGAGATCTAATTGAAAACAATATTGTTAGCTTACATGTCTTGTTATAAAAACAAACAAACAAACTCCCGTACACACCATAGACAAACTTGATCGAACTCACTCAACATAGTTTTTTGAAGGGGCTAGCAATCTATATTTACTCCACGATAAGTGAATCTTAAGCTCATGAGATTTACACTACAATCTTGCTACAACAACTCAAATTCTAATCATCGTTTTCGGTGATATTTAATTTCCCTAATCGAACACAACAATAACTGTGATACACAAGTTGGATTAAAACAATAGAACAGTTCACTATTCAATCAAGGTATTATTTAGAAGATATTACGATCACGAAAATAAAACTGGTTTGTTTTAAACAAACAATAAATTTGCCAGAACTAAGAATCATACGATTATCACCAGTCATCCTGTTTTTATGTAAGATTTTTAAATGTACTGTTATTCAGAACAACAACTGGGTTAATAAGTGCATTAACTGTCATATAAATACAATCTTTCTTTTTTGGAAGACAAAAAGAGTCTAAGGGATAACACATACCCTTTCGATATTTCCAAGTTAGAACCAATTTTCTGTAAGATTTCTTCGTAACCAACAATATCAGTAAATATATAAACTACCTGAAAATGAAAACAAATTATAAGAACCTAATAAGGCATAACATAAATAAATATACGTGAGTGCGATTACTATTACTATGGAGTCAATATCTTTGGGAACTTACGTACCAATTTTTTCCATGACACTAATACTCTTCAGCAAATATGACGCTTAGTGATAAGAAATCCAAAGCATAGACGGGACTTATCGAAATCCGAACAAACCATTTCATAGATGTTTCCTTTTTGACGTGTTCAAAACCGTAGTTTCATCTACTGATTGAAAGAATCATTCAGATGTTCTAGTCTCAAAGCTATGTCCGAGAAAACTTCAAACGGAATCGTTTCAGGCTGTATGCTTCAAACCGTTCTGCTACTCTTAGACATCTCTTCGTAGACATTGGACATGGCAGAATTAAAGCAGTTCAGCCGTCCGGGTACATCACTGATCAGCTCGGCCCCAAACGAGCAGAATGGCAATCCAGTGTTTAGATCACGCTGATCTGGCTGGACCACCCTGAGTGGTATCTAACTACTCAAGTTGTACGGCAGCATATTCCTGCAAAATTTTAAGTTACCTAAAACACTGCAGTGAAGAACAAGCAAGAATTACGCAACAGTACGTCTTCTCGTCTCCCATAGTGGTGGTGATTGTCAATATCTTTATGAACCTATTGTGATAAACACTTCTGCACTGTAAAGTACTGAAGACACTTTTCCAACACCTTCAATAATTCTGGCGTAAATCTCAACAGATAACAACCTAAGGATTATTGACACATCAATACCTATGACTTCCAACTAGCTATACTTCAAATACAACTGAGTCTATGCTACTGTAACTATGTTACTATAACTACAAATATTTAATTTTATATTAATGATGGATAGTAGCTAGCAGTGGAATCTAGGATATGTGTTTCGTCCTATTCGGGACACGTCAAATGGATGTGCCTGCCTCTCAATGAGCGATGTTGTCCCCGCCAGGACTTGAATTCAGGTCCGATCGCTCCAAACACCAGATCGTTATCCATTTGGTTACTGAGTTACGATAGCCACTTGTTGTGTGACGGGTCTAGTCTTAATGTTGCTACCTGTATAATCCCGTCGTTGATTGGACCAAATTTGATCGATAACAACATAACAAATATTTGATATTGTGTAACTGAGGTTGTGTGAACTGTTTGATAAAACTACTTTATTGATACCGCTTGGAACATAAGTATTACCACTACAATCCTTCTGCTTTGTGTCATTCTGAATTACTAGTTCTAAGGAACACTTAGTAAAAATATTTAATTCATAGTTCGATCCTGACAACTACAGAAACCGTCATGCGTTACTTTTGAGCTATTTGCCCACATCAATTAATAACACTACATTGATAGCTCACCTCGTCATATGATAGTGTATTCATGTGATGTTCAACAGACCATTCCTTATTGTAGTGAAAAGCTTCACCGTTCGCCATTTCATACAACTGTCGCAAAGCACAAATTTCAATATTTATAGAACTCTTCCGGTTAAGTTAAGTGAGCCTCAGTTTTATCTTTCTACAAGAAAATTGCACGAAATAGTATCACTACGCTTCTAAGTGTGTGAAAAATATTTTCTGTTTTTCATAATTATAGATTTTTTTTCTTCTTCATTTACATTATACCTAAGAGACAATAAGTTACATATATGTAGATGTTTGAGAAATCTAAAAAGCTTTGTATACAGCATTAATTTAATGACTAACCTTATCAACTGTTATGATGAGAACTCCTCCAAGAGTAGGTGAATTACTCCGTGGAAAGGCTTCAGCTGAGACCACTTCACGCAAAGGAAGAATAATCTTGGTACTTTCCGCCTGTAAATTTAAATAGATTGATAAGTGTCCTAATGTATCAACAACAAAAGAAGAGTAATTTACATAAAAACAGAAATATTAGCTCTATCTGGCGTGAAATAGCGTGGGTTGAGTACTGGCATTCTAATCCATTAAAATAAATGTTACACTCATTTTGTCGATGTTAACTCTCTTAAAAATCCTAGTCCCTAGTTTGCTCCATGTCGACTTTTAATGCAATCTACACTCGAAATCTACCAGAGATTTCCAATTTATCAAACTGAAATTAGTTTTTACTTTCTGTTTATTTGCCGACAAGCATAGGTAGAAATATCATTAAAAAACTTTAAAACAGCATATAATGTTAACCTTTTCTACATGCATACATCATACTCTATCTTCACAAAAGTGGATGTATGCCTCATCAGTTTCAACACTAGACCTTAACACAGAGGTTGATTCAAAGCCTGAACCATCTGCCTCCACTTGGATATAAGGGTATTATAATAAGCCTTAAAGCCCTGAGTATACTTAATAGTCCGATAACTTTTAATAATGAAATATAATGTGTAATTCTAAATCGAATTAATATGCAAACACCGAGCATAATCACCCACAAGGTGGATATTTTATTATAAACTTGTTGTACTTTGGAGACGAGAAAGACTAACCAATGAGCTGTAACAAAGAAACTGCGAAGATAAGAAAATTTTGCCATCCAAAGGTTCATTGTTGTCTGGATTATGCAGTTTACACTCAACAGAAGTTTCCAAAATTTCATGTGCAGGCAAATGGAACAAATTTTGAAAGTGTTGACTGCGTATTATAACATCCAACTTCTCCCATAAATTCGAAGAGTTCTGAGTTAGTAAACTGGTAGTAAGGAAGCACCAAAAATATACAAAACCAGGTAACTCACAATAGCATATGCTATTAATTGCTTAGTTAACAAAACTACAAAAGTTAGTGAGTTAAAATACCTATCACATTATTAATTACTAATAAACAACAACTTTAGGTACATAAAACGATCATATAGAAGATTTTTCACTGCTAAGACAAGTTGGTAGCAATTTCCTCGATCGTATAACAGGATGACCATGAAGTAGCACGCGTTCATCAGAAGAAAGAAGAGCATCATGATGAAGAATACCGAACAGTATATCTGTACGCTTTATCATTCAATAACAATCGAAAGCTGCTACCTTGATGTGGCAGCGTGGATCGCTATAACCGGATTGAGAGGGTAAAGTAGTACACCCAACTGGATACAAGTGTGACAGTCGATAGAGAAACATACCATACATGCCTAACTCGAGATTCCAAAGTTCTGGCAAGGGATATCTCTGCTGCCTAATTTGGAATAGGGTTTGGACGTTGAAAGCTCTAATATGAAATCGATAGCGGGGCTTCAGAAAACCAGAAATGAGGTTTCGATTGCTTGCATTTGTTGTCAATGGTCGCAGTATGAGAGGTTGGGGAAGTTGTAAGAGGTTTAATATTAGTATCAGGAAGTGAAGGCAGACGAGGAGACACAAGTGAGGAGGGTAGATTACGATTGATTGTATTTTGTATACTACTGGAAGCATGAAAGTGGTTGACACTTCTCAAGATCTCACTGTGGGAGTTGTTTCTGCAGGATACCTGAAAGAGAAGATTTATGCAACACCATAGTCCATGGAAAATCTGCTTGAAGCCTGTTACACACACAGCCTTTTTAGGATTGTTGGTATGCCGTTTGATTGTTCTAAAGCCAGATAGGAAACACTTATACCACCGGCAGTGCCACACGGAGGGGTAGCGAGGAGTGTGCTATTTTGAGGAATAACCTCTTCTATCTCTTGCCTTCCCATACTCAAGACAGCAGCATCAGCATGGTACTGTTGGTCATCTGCAGGAGACACCTTACAGCTATCACTCTCCGATCAGCCAACAGGACGACTCCACCCTCGGACCCCCGTCATAAGGTAGCAATTTAAACTATAAAGGTAACTGCCTTTCATCCTACCACTATCCAACAAACCTTCCTGGCACGGTAAGACCTGAAGGAACAAGGGTTCCAGATAGTGCACCTCGTTAGGTTAGTGTTATGCAAGCCTGACCACCGCGTCAAGGCATCGGCTATCGGTCCGTATGACTGCAGTAAGGTGTTTCTCGAGGATGACCAACAATACCATGACAAAGCTGCCATCCCTATAAGGAGAACAGATTAGAAAACGTCGACCCCAATACAGCACTCTCCCACGTAGCCTGCGATCTTTCGGTGCAGGTGATATCAGCTAATAGCTGGATTCGAAACACTAACTTAAATTTCAAACTTTAAAAACGTTGATGGATGACCGGTTTCAAGTAGATGTTCTTCAGACTCTGTGGTCACGCACCACTATTACTAATCCAACTTCGTTCTCAGTTACCTCAAGATAAAACAACTTTCAAAGGTTTTGGCAACCGAAAAGTGTCAACCGTCTTCACCACGGCGTCAGAACTCATTATCAACCTACCTTTTCACATCATTACCAAACTTTCTTCTAATCTTTCTCTACTTCCCACAATCAATTATCCCACATTTTCCTTAATTTCTCCCAGCTCTGCAACTCTTAATAACAACTGAAGTTAGGGGAACAGAATTCCTAGTCTCCTTAATACTGCACTTTGAACTACACACTGGAACTTTCAAAGAGGGCACTCTCCATCAAATCGGACAGAAGCTTTGCTAGTCAGAACTCTGGCATTTTGGGATACCGTGTTTGTGAAACGCGCATACAGGACCTAAGTCCGGTTATTCACTTAGCCTCGCTCGGTCAGTATAGTGAATACACAGAACTCACCCTTGGAGTTTTCAGAGGGTCGATGGCTAGTACTCGCAGTCTTACAGGTTTAGGTATGGTATTGAGTACTAAAGCAAAACGTTCTCTACTCGACTGCATCACATCTGACAGTCACCTGTGAGCTTTATGACTGAGTAGTAAAGTAAGGGCTAATAACGAAACTCCTCGATGTCTCTTTGTAATCTCGATTGATTGCAACTTAACGGTGAACAATAGTGGACCATTCCATTTTTATTCATTTATTAGATTTATCACATAGTGTAACAGTATTGTTTACTGGATTATGTTTCCGACACAGATTATTGTCCGTAGTCATATGAAGATAACCATACAAGTTTGAGACATCCTTCAAATAGTTCTAATTTCCTCGCCTCCTTTGTGATATGGGTAGTAAGATTTTCTACATACCGGGAATTAGGTTATCCGAGGTCAAAATTGGTAGATCTCAGTAAGACAAGGAATTTAGAAAAAGCTCGGCAATAGCTATGCATGCAATAATACAACCACACAATAGGACAAGACAGGGTGAAAATCCTTAAAACTAACATAGCGGGGAGGAGCGAGAGATTCATAACTGAATCTTTGTTTATCAAATGACCACCTAATACATGCAGCAGAAATGACTCAGAACCTGATCCAGATATATGGAAAATCCTAATACCCATATCACAAAGGAGGAGGAAATTAGAACTGTTTGAAGGGTTTCTCAAACTTGTATGGTTATCTTCATATGACTATGGACAATAATTTACGTCCGAAACGAAATCCAGTAAACAATACTGTTACACTATGTGACAAATCTAATAAACCAATAAAAATGGAACCAACATTCTTTCATAGTGCACAAGTTTTACTCTTACATTAAAGGTAGATCATATTGCTAGCAGTCATAGCCAAAGAGGGTCGGTGGAAGGTTGTTCCTCCTTCTAAAGCACATGTTTGATCAATCATTTGTCCGACCCCACGTATCTGAGTCTAAGTGGGTGTGAGGAAACTAAGGAAACAAGACTACTACAACGGCAACTTGATGATGGGAATCTTAACGCAGCTTTCAGTGAAAAGCTGGTTATACAGTTATTGTAACAACGCAACCTCACTAACCCTGAAGAAGCCTGATGCCATATCCAACTTGTTGTAAGAACAGCGATACGGACCATAACTAATGCTCAAAAGAAGTTGGAAAGGGTCAGTGGATTTCGGTATCTTCGTCTAAATAACTCGATGCTCGCAAACGCATCCCTGTGGACTTAGTGGAGCTGTGGCGCGTTGCCTTAAGCATTTAATTTCCGACCGACAGGTCACCTACCGAGAATTTTGGTAGCCACGTAGTATCTTTAGCCCTCACATAATAAGTGTGGCTCATTACGTACTGTATGAATGCGCAAAAGGTTGCTGAGTAAATTTCTATTCAAACTTCAATCACAATGAGAAGTAGAAGCAACTCAAATGCTGGCTGACAAAGAGTCTACTTAATGACCACAAGCAGTGATCGGTGGCGAACCTTAAAGAGATGCAGACATAGGTGAAAGTATACAGTTATTTAGACTGATCGCAGAAACCAAGGCACAAAATTTACTGGTGTAGTGAACTAAAATGAAGGTTAGGTCTATGATTCACTCAGTGGCGAGATGACTGGGACGATAACCAGAACATTTCGAAGTACACCTCGACTACCCTTTAGCTAGTCTTCAGTTGCTCACAATTCAGTCGGATCCTGAACAGAATATTGAGATAGGGTCTCCAACTCTTGCAAAAGCTGAGAAGGCTTTAAGCAACCTGAGATGAGGAAGGGCAACAGATATCGATGGGCTAGTACCGAGATACTGATAGAACAGTGATCACGGGTTACTGGTTAGATTAAATGAGGTGTTAGCTACCGTATGGGAATCAAATATAATTCCCTTTGACTGTTCTCAATCGTTGATTGTTTCAGTCTTCAAAAGAGGGGACAAATCCTCATGTGATAACCAAAAGAGAACAGTCTGATGAACTTAGAGCGTAGGATTCTGGATTCAACAATTGCAGGACTTCCAGGTGAAGCTCTGGAACAACAACCCTAAGGACCAGAAAGGTTTCAGTAATGACCGTGGGTGGATCAACCAGATATTCAACCTCCGCAAAGTATTGGGACACAGGTACCCGAAACTAGCTGCATTTCTCCACCTGAAAGAAGCATTCGACTTCGTCGATTAAGAGGCCTAATGACAGAGTCTATCACTGAACCATATGACGGGTATGTACATCACCCTGTTGAAGGCTGTATAACCAACCACCCGTAGGTATGTTGGTCCACATGGTGAGATATCAGGTGTTTTTCACATCGATTGGTATCTGTCGAGAATGTCGATTCTCTGCATTTTCATTCCACTTTGTCATCGAAGTACTTACGAAGGTCTACATTTCGATGTCTGAATTTACACGGAACGACTTTGTCATAGGAGATTTCTTAATAGATCTAGAATATGCAAATGATATAGGAGAGAATTTTGACAAGATCCAGAGTCTCCTGGACACCTTGAGTGGTAAATTAGAGATTTTGGAAGTGGATTTCTCACCAATTGACCAACTAAGAACCTATCGCCCATCAAATATGCAGAAGAAGAAAGTGGAGATGGATTGGACATACACTGAGAAAACCGTTCGGAGACATCACGCACCAGGCCAGGCCCTCGAGTGGAATCCAAAGGAGAAACGACAAGTTGGGTGTCTGAGGCGAGGGTGACATGGAGGAGATCATGTGAGGAAGAAATGAAAGCTTCAGGGTAGTCGTGGAGCCAGGTTCAAAAGACTGCAGAAAACAGAGTGGAATGAAGACGTGTTACTGAAGCCCTATGTTTCACTAGGAACCCAAGGACAAATAATAATGTAATAAATTTCTCAGCAATTAAATAGATGTTGCTCCAGGAATGGTCTTTGTTGGCGCTTTTTCTAACAATAGGAATGAAAAGGTTGAGCGCATTGACTACTTTACTTACCTCGGAAGTTAGATCCATTTTGGTGGCGTTTTAGGGAGAAGAGGAAAATCAATCGATGAGATTGTGAAACTTCATCTACTGTGGTGGGCGGGACATGTATTACATATGTCCAGTCACCGATTTCCAGGTCGCACAATGTTAGTTGAAGCAGGTTTAGTATGGAAAGAGTTTATAGACAGTCAGACGAAAAAATAACATCAATTCCTGACGTGTGACTGTTGGTCTGAGCCATATAAAAGAATAAAGACTTCACCGGCACTGTTGAAGGCTAGGCCTTCTTGAGGTGCCCGGAAAAGAAGGGTTGTTGCGTCCAGGCAGAGCCCAAGCGACATCGGTCACATACCATCTTTCTGCAGGTTTGAGATTTTCGTTTTGGAATCCAAATACGAACCCATGTTACAGGTATCGGCATACCACGGGGTGATGGGAGTGTGACATTTTCGAGGCTGACCTTCTCTACCCCTCCCTTTCGCATAGTCAAGGTAACGTCGGCGTTGCACTGCTGGGCATCCAAGGGAAACAGTTTACTGCTGTTATACTCCTGTCCATCCAGCAGTATGACTTCGCCCTGAGACCCCCATTATAGCGTGGCAATTTACACTACAATCGTAACTACCTTTTGTCTAACCACTATCCAACAGATCTTTCTGCTATAGTAGGACCTCGAGGGAACACGCATTCCAACGGCATAGCTCACTGGGTCATTGTGATATACAAAGGTATTCATTAATGGACACACCGAACTCCAGTTATTTCATTATTCTCTGCTCTCGTTTGGTGATTTCTTCCACTCTTAACTGCTTTCCACCTTATTTCTATATCTTTTATCTTAGTGGATTCTAGCTTAACGTGTTGATATGAGGTGCAACAACTTGGACAGTTACGCTGAGTCCCATATTGATATTATCTGTTCGTCCGGCCGTCTGTCTTTCCGTCCGTCTATCTCTTTATCATTACCCCTAAACACAGTCAAACAAAGAAATAAGTTTAGATAAGAAATTTGATTTACTTATTTAAGTAACTTGAGATCACATCTAATATCTACTTTCAGTTCAACTTCACAAACTACTTACAAAATAGCAACTTTTTAAACAACAGAGGAACACATGGAAAGTGTTACTGACATCAAATAAGTTTCTCTTAAAAGCTACACAGAATTCAATAAGCGGAAAATATGTACAATTTTCCTTATTACCGATAAATCTGGATTTTAAAAAGCATCCAAGACTAAGGTTTTGCCTTTCAGTAGTATAGGGATTACAGGTGGTCAACGCACTTGATTGTTCCATCAAGTAGAAACTACAGAGCATCGTTTAGTTTTCAAAAATTTCAAAATTTTCAGGAATACAATTTCAAAGTTAGGAGGTAATACAAGCACTTATAGACAATATAAATATCTTGTTAACAATGCATCATACACAAACGAAGTAGAAACAAACAATAACTTACGTCTTCAGATTTAAATCGAAATGTGACCAACTTGTGTAACAGTCATCCACCAACAGCCTAATAAATTATTAGAACAGAAACCAGAATAAATGAAGTTAGATTAATGGAAAATATAAGAAAAATTCAATTAATTTGTGCGAAAAAAATCAGCGTACAATTTTCGTTGCGTAGAAACTCCACAAAGTGTAAGTAGTGAATATTTAGGATGATTTGGCTCAGGGTTTTAGGTATCCAACCTTAAATAATTATATTATTCGCATTGAACTATAATTCTACTGGAAAGAATTATTCAGTCGAATAGTATTATTAATCTTCACAAAGCGAATGAGAAAGCTTGGCTTTCAGTAGACAGATGAGTTGTACTTGCTTTTTACATAAACTGGGTGATTTGGTTTTTGCGACATAAGTTACAGAAACGAAAGACGATAATTTGCAACCACTAACTTACTTGAGATGCGTGAATCAGAGAGGGTTGCCATTAACAGAGAATTCATGTAAAAATTGGTAGCGACGACGGTTTCAAATATTTTTATACTTACACTACACGATGCACCACTTCTTGAAGCTAGTCACTAATCAGCACTACATAAATTCATTTTGGAGGTTTGTAGGGATTTATTTATTGATTTCAGGTTGGTATACATTATAGATTGATACCAGCCAGAGAAACATTGGAAACCTGGGAGCACTGGATAGCTTTTTCATCATGGTATGGGACTCCTTAGCAGTGAGCAGGAGTAGGTAATATGAACCTTTGGATTCCGACCCAGTGGTTCAACGGTAACATGTTGGTTGCGGAACCTCAGTTTGATTCCTGGCGGGGCGAGGTCAAGGGGGCACACTGCGTCCTATACTAGAACGAAACAGCTGCCCCGTGGTCTTGTGTTTCTGATTTCAGTAAAACAGAAACACCGGTCAACACTTCAAAAATATTTCTGTTTTAATTTCAGAACAAGTGGCTGGAATCATTCGCAGAACGCTGAAGAGTAATAAATATGGTCATTAGCAACTCATAAGTTACGTAACATCCAGTCAAACTGGATGTTAAGACTTGTCGCATAACTATGACTGAAGATGGAAAGACTGCAAAAAAAACCTTAGTGGCAATCTTCACCCAGTCTAGACAAAAATAAACCGTTGTCACACAAAGAATAGGGACCATATTTCATCCTATAAGACTAGTCTTGGTCTTCAAAAGGAAATACTCTTGCAATGACCACAGGAGCACTAACCTATATAATACATTTTTAAACAAGAGTTGGTGAATACTTCATGACTGACAGCCAAATAAGACAAACCGGAGGGGGTGAAACAAGTGAACTCCAGAAATCGACGAAAGGGTGTCAGGTTAGGCCTTTGCTTTCTGTCAGAAACTTCGAATGAAAACATACCGGTTCCTAGCACAAAATATAGTCTATAATGTTCCTTTAATTGACCCGCGAATATTTTTTATATACTTCACGTTTGTTGGATAAAGAGTGATGTATGATAACTAATTAGACTAGTGAACCTGTTTGCCCTTGAAATAGGCGGTTACCTTGGTACCACTGGAACAGTCACCTACAAGGTTAAACACTTATTCTACCTTATGCTATCCATAGAGCATGTCTGATGTGGAAATGCACTCCAGAGAGAAAAAGCATAAATATGCATTTATCCTGCGCTTCAGAGGCAAGGACAGTGCAAAAACATCTTCAGATGGCTAAATGATAACGTTGATGACAACAGAAACTCGCTAAGACATCGAAGTATTGATTAGATCCTGTAGACAACATTCGATCTCAGTGTTATGGATGCACCCATTCTTTATTGACGAACTTATATCTTCAACTTCATTCATTCTCAGCTTTCTTCATTCTAACACATTTAGATTCTAGCATGTTTTGTTGCGCTTTGAAAATACACGGTAGTTTAGACCAACGTACTGTTGTTGTGAGTTCCAAACATTCATACTCAAAACTAATCTAATACCCTGGGCATCCCAATATTATTAAAACCGACTGAATAACATGAAACAGCTGGTTAAAAAAGGAACATCAATTTAATATCATTCGGTTGCCTAAGTTTAAATAATAAAGTCTTTTAACCTACTGTCTGACACCATAATTGGCGAGTTGTAAAATCATATTGAAAGCTTCGTCTGATCCCACCGGGATAACAAAATAGTACTGGAAAATTATTTTAAATAAAATATCATTAATTTATGAAAAGTAGGAATCGTTAACAAAAAGATTTTGCAAAGTATTCAAAGTCTATTTCTTTTGCACTAATAAATCTATAACATAAACTGTTGATAAGATCCATATCAAGAACTGTGAGTTTTTATTTTACATATTTCATTACTGTTTAATAAGTTTCATAACTATTTCATGTTTTCAACATTCCATAAATATTTAGAGCAGCACCCTGACACAGTAGTTTTCAATATCAAGTTAGTTATTACAGCAGATAGGTTAGCGTACAGTGATTTTTTTAACATTATATTCAAGCAACTTAATAAAACCCTATTCCCCAAGGATCTAAATTATATCAATAAAAAAGACTTTGCTCACAAACCACTTATTAAGAAAACCCTAAGACTGAAGTGAGCAGCTGTTGTACCTCCAGATGTTCGGTACGAAATCGTCTTATTTGAAAAAATAATTGATTAATACGAATCTAAATGACAGCGCCCATAAGAAAAAATCTAATTACATCCCCATAACGAGTTCCAAGCAGGAAGATAGGATCTTAGGACTTAAGCGCTATTAGATAAGATTCCATATATAATAAACTATGAAATCATGATACCAAAGACAATAGCATAAGTAAATAAAGAATATTAAATATTGACAAACAAGAGCATTACGACTTGTTAGAACACTTTTCAATCAAGTTCGAGAAGCAGTGCTGTCTGCACTCATCTTAATGACTTAGTTGGCAAATTCGAATTCAAAGACTGTGACTGAAGTAGACAGTAAACTCAATTTATGGCGACATTTAAATCAGAGGCATCTGTATAACACTTCCTAATTTGATTTCAAGATTTCCTCAACCAGTGGCTCTGCCAAACCGTTAGGCCAATCAACGATATTCTATTGTACATTCATGACGCTATTTTTATAGGCAGGACCTATCCTAATCCAAATCAATCGGGACTTTAGATGGAAAACCACCAAGTGATTGCTAAGATTGCTGAGATATTCTTGGTTGACAGATTAACCCTCATACTCAGGTAGAATGATTGTAGTTGACAGAAAATCTAGGTTCGCAGTGGAATCATGAAGCTTCATCCGTAGAGCATAAGACATGTAATTCACTGGTTCTAATCCTGCTGCATACTGCATTTTCTATCAAATTCAATTTTCATCCCCAAATTTAATCTCCAGATGCAAAATAAACTAAAAAGATTTGAGTGCGCATTACCGAAACGATGGTCCAATCAACCTACAGTAAAAGAGAAGTTCACAATACACAACATAATACGAAAATAGACACGACCATGTATCAGATCTGCTGGGAATCACTTAAGACTTACCATCTGAGTACGCGTACGCACACAAATACTTCTTGATATACGCAACCATGACTGGAAAACAGACTATTTCGAAATGGGTTAGTAGTAATAATAAACATACGATAACATGGATCCACGGTATGCATATTTTATTTCCATATATGTTAGGATAGAAGCAAAGATAATTTAAAGTCAGGTACATCCATCCTGGACGTGACTCCTTCCCACTGACAAAGAAGCAAAAGTAATCTAAAGAAGCTACAGTTACAAGGAATCTGACACTTACGATTCACTTCCCTTTCTTTGAATGGAAAATTGAATATTTGATGGAGCTTATCAGTTGTAAGGTTACCACTTTCTAAAAATCTACTTAAGTGATTGACTTACTATCTTCCATTTCCCAGAACCAAAAAGCTCTCGCCTCCAGCTTCTGATACAAGTAATCAAACGCAGTCTCTCTGTCGAATCCTTCAACGTTGACGCAAATTTTCCTGATTTCCTTCCAAAGGTACTTAATTTCCTTGCTGATTGAAGACGTAGCAACTACTACGGGGAAAAAACAATCAGAGGCAAGACGTAGAACGAACCATATAATGAACTATTTGGTGCTTTAAGGACTATTCTGTATAGTTGAACCTAAAGGTTGTTTGTTTATCACAAAAAGGTTATCATACATTTTTAACGTCTTTACACGAACTCTTTTGAATAATGAAGTGAGGATTATCTTCAATATCTTTCCTAGGAACGTTTAACTAAGAGAATTACCAATACCAAAATATTGACGGAGGTGCTAACTGTAAACTCCGAAGCATAACTTTTATTAAAAGCTAAAATAAAGTCTGAAAATGAGAGCAAATAGATTTTTGTTGATCGCTTCCTTTAACTTTCAACTGCATATCAGAGTAATACCAGTTTTTGTAAGAGGCTATAATCGGAATCAAGGAAAGCAGTAAATCGAACGTAGCAAATAGTACTTAAACCATCAAAATTAATCGAAGAAATTTAAGAACTGAAGCACTCGGATGACAGTCAAGCACAATTTTGCACACCAGTGCAACACTGGGGCATACAAAACACTTTCTACGCCCAGAAACAATCTATTGGAATCTTTCTCAAAAACTCTGGAAACTGGTTTAGGTAGTTGACTTTGAACTAGTTGGTGGAAGGTCTGAACCCCGCTTTACCGGCCAGTTTTTAGCCAGCCAGATGGTATTATTACCTGTCAAATGACAGGTATGACTCCTAGGTTTGAACACCAAAGTGCGCGTAATTTCAGAGTAGCATTGTTTGCATATCAATATTGATGTTCACCAGTTTCCTGACGGTAACCAGCTCATAACTCCCTGATACCACAGAAAAACGTGATGATAGCCTCAACTGAACTCACAAATACTTGATTTGTGTTTCTTTAGTTTCAATCAACAGCGATCAGTCTGTCAATCAGTATCAACATGGGACACTGCATCACTGTTTATTGATCTAAGCCGCCTTATATAAGCAAGTCGTAAAGGAAGGCAGCAAGATGATAAAAAAAGGGGAGAACGTAATCAAAAGTTGCATAAAATCATTAGAAGAGAAGACAGAATAAAAGCATGACTAAATGTCATATGAAGACAAAACAAATATAATATGTGGATGCGTGTGAGCAACTGAGATCGACTCTGGTTTAAATCAACTAGAGTCTCCAATCGCCGATTTTGGTTGTGAAGTCTACCCCAAACATTATTATCGTTATTATTATTATTATTATTATTATTATTATTATTATTATTATTATTATTATTATTATTATTATTAGGACACAAACATGGTACATCAAAGGTACTAAGAAACGCGCCACACAAAATAATTCAACACTATTTTGAAGACATAGAGCGAAGGGAAGTGAATAAAAAGAAAAACAAAATTAGAATATAAGTGTAAAACTTGGGCACTGTGTTCGAGTGTAATTCCATTTTAGTCTGTTTATTAGAAATATCATACAGTGAAACAGTAGCATCTACTAGATAACGTTTCAGACATAATTTGTTGTCCATATTCATATCAGGTGAATATGAATATGGACAACAAATTATGTCTGAAACGTTATCCAGTAAATGCTACTGTTTCACTGTGTGATATTTCTAATAAACAGACTAAAATAAAATTAGAATAGAATGATCGGAAGGGCAGGCCAGTAAGATACATTCGAAACGAAACATTTACAACTCTTCAGCAGCAGAAGATAGAAGCAAGTTACAGTAAGACCGCCAATGGTCTCCATTCTGAGCCATATCTGATAACGTCTCAAGTCAACGAGTTGCGTGATCTCTCGGACCCCACCCAGAGAGTCATGATGAACCAACAGATGCTAACCCAATACAAATACCATTTATACCATGATGCCACATCATACACTGACCACCCCCTTCACCTCTTCCATCCACTCCCAGAACTGGCAAACAATGAACGGTGCGGAAGCCATTGGGACGACATGCGTAATATATGTCCAAGCCATCGAAGCCAGTGTTCCTAGATGGCTACACTTATTGAATAACGATCTCCATCATGCCCAATTATACGCTGTCGTACCTAAAAATGACTTACACAGTGTTGCCAGCAATCCTACGAAGACAACGATAATCGAACACACAAAGTCGTCACACATCCTCAGCTCGGAGAGGGCAAGTTTCACAGGCGTATATCAAAACTGCTGGCACCCAAGCAGTGTGAACCTGACGATTCACGGTTAGACTAACATCGCGATGGCGTCAGAGGTGATCCAGATCGGCACATGCCAACCTGGCTTTTGATATGAGGTTGAGAATTTCATCACTCACACCTCCACTAGCACTAACACAACTACCCATATACACGAACTTTACGACTACCTCCAACCGTTCACCACCCAAGGTGAGCGCAGGCGCAGGCTCCAGTCAGTGGTGCGAAGTACATACCATAATTACAGGTAATAATCGCAGACTCATTAAGTGCAACTTGAGTAGCCTGTGTATTATCGCACAGAAGGACGATGCCGTACGCATATTCAAGGTCGAATAGCAGTTCTCCGGGTAGTAGATCTACACCACCATCAAGCACTTTCTTCCCAGTTGTCACAAGAATGTCATCTATTGTAAAGTTAAAAAAGAATGGAGAAATCCGGTAACCCTGCTTAACCCCACTGCTGGTTTGGAATAATGTAGACAGGTGGTTGTATCCCCTCACTCTCCCTGAGGTGTCATTATATAAGGCTTTCCAGATGTTATGAAATTTCTCAGGCACGTCCCTCTTTAATAGGTAATTACAGAATACAGCCCTGCCTAACGAATGGATAACAGCCCTAATGTCAAGAAACACAACAATTGTTAGCCTGCCATATGTCTGGTTATGTGCAAGCATCCGATGCAGGGTGAACACATGATCAGTGCATCCACGACCTGAACGAAACCGGGCCCGCTCCTTGTAAATCACTTACGTGTTTTGCAGTCTGCATAGTATGATGGCAGCCAATATTTCCGACGTGACTGGCAACAGATGAATACCCCGATGATTGTCACATAAACCACGTAGACCCTGTTTAGAGATGGGCACAATAGCGACCTCATCCCACAGTAATGGAACAGTTAGTCTGCCATACTTTCTAAAAAAATCTAGTCACTTTCCTGACTAGAACCGTTCCTCCATCCTTAAAGAGACCCAGGGGTAAAGTAAGTTGTCTGGGTCGGGTGCCTTGTGGCGTTTTAGAACTTGGAGTTCCCTATAGATCCCCCACTTTGTAAGGTGGGTCAGTCTTAACTGACCATGAAGCACGACACACTGAAACTGAAAATCCTGGAGCAGTGGGTCAGCTAAACTGCCTTTCGAAATGCTCCGACCAGTATTCCAGGGTCGTTGAAGATTGTTTATCGGCGCACCATCTACTTTACAGACTTTCCCACTAACACCAGGCTTCTTGCTGCCAGTGGCTCGGATGAGCTGGAGCAGCCTCTGACTATTGCCAAATGCAACTCCTGTTTCCACCTCATTCGCGCGTTTTGATCACCAAGCCTCACGGTCCTTGCATAAGCGTTGTGTAATCCTTGGCATAAGAGAATCACGCAAACTCACTATCCGCCAAAATGCTCCGATGGATATCCAGAAGCTGCAGGGAGTTGAAAAAGACTGTTTATTAGCGGGTTGTTCGTCCTAACAACAAGCGGCTTTGCTCACCATTTTCATGGTGTCTTCCAAGTGCAGCCAATGCTCGTCTACACTTTCTGAAAGATCGGTAGCTAGCTTTAAATTGAGCTCGGACTGGTATTTAGCTGCACCGTTAGGCACAACTAACTTGCTTGCATCGACCGGTTCAGGACGATGATTTGGATGACCACCAAAACGCAAGACGAGCTTACCACACACTAAAGCAAGATCAGAGTCCAGACAGGTACTCGGTATGGAGCAGCAGTCGTGCATTCACCCACCTCATTGGTAGCTGATTTTAATATGATCTATTTGAGTCCAGGCTTGAGCGGCAGAGGAAGGACGCCAAGTAGCACAACGGCGATGACTGTGCCGGAAGTAGGTGCTGGCTAGAAACAGATTGCAATCTGCCCAAAGCTGCAGAAGACAATCCCCATTACCTGACCTACGGCCAACAAGTCCCCATTGGCCACCTAAACGACCCTATTCTGACCCTAGACGCACGATCTGCGCACTCAAGTCCACAGCTAGCACTACGATATCTGTCGAGTGCAGTTGGTTGAGAGGGTCACTCAGTTGATGATAGAGTCCATACTTAGTTGCACACAGGCTGCAATCCATCGGAGTATAGGCAGGGATGACAGAAACATTGTTTTTCTCATTACTCGGGATAAACTTTTCAGCCTAGCAGAACATAAACTGTTAATGGAGATCCAGTCAATTAGTGCAGTTTCAGCTCAAACGCTTAGTGCAACACCGACACCAGTGAGGCCGGTTGCCGATACACGGGGTACACGGATAAGCGCACAGGAAACATTTTTCGAGCCGAATTGGGGAACTCATTCGAAGCACTTCACTATGATCTTGTATGCGGGTCTTTGAGATGCAGCATACATCAATAGTGAGGCTGTTCAGAGTCCTAGCCAAACCTGCCCGTTGTTCGATCTCCATCAAGGTGCGAACGTTGGAGGTGGCGAGCCTAAACAGCACGTGTGGTTTCAGGATAGCTGTGTTAGATGTTGCACTGGAGGACAGCTTTATGGGGGTAACTTTTAAGCGACTCGAAACGGTAAGGACACACCAAAAGTCTAAGCAGTGGAGAGCAGATGAGTGAAGTTAAGATAAAGAGAAAAGTGAAAATGGTAATTATAAAAAAATACGGTTCATATGTAAAAGCAGCAAGAATGATACAACAGCAATAAACTGAACGATCGTTTATAGAGTTCGTAGTGCGGAGGAAATCTGTTTCCTAACATGACTCACACCAAAAGTGAGTTGACACGTTTTAGTCTCATTGCAGCCAGATAGACAAAGCCAACGTAGAACCTAGCGTACAAGTGCATCGGTTCAAGTTGTCACACTTCACAGTAGTATGTAAAGACAGATGGATAGAATAAGAGTGATATCGAAATGGTCAAAGTTGTGTGAGAGAATGAACACTTTGAAGTTGACAGTTAGTGGAAATATTCGAGTTTTAGATGACGTCAAAGACTGAATACATCTGCACCACTGCAACCAATTTTCAACCAATTCACCAATAGCACTCAATACTGTTTCCTATGGTCTCGGCGACCCGGGCCAGGTAGTCCACACCTAGCACGGCTCAGATTAATGGTCAGGAACTTCATCGACTGGTGTTACATCTTGGTCTGGCCACCCTGAGCCCTCTTCCGACCTAACC